CATCCAAGAGCACTTCCAGGCCGCGGGGCAGGAGCTGCTGTCCTGGACTCCCGAGGACTGGAAGGACAGGTACCACCTGGACAGGAAACAGGAGGGGGCCTTCGGGCAGGCCTGCCTCCCCGAACCCCACGGGGTCCGTGTTCTTCCAGCCCCCGGTTGCTGCAGAAGATCTCGGACCCCAAGCTGAGAGCCTGGGCAGGGCAGCTCCACCAGCTCTGGAAGAAACTGGGAAAGAAGGTATCCACGTCCTGGATCTCAGCCAGGGGGATAGAGCTGGGAGAAGGGGAGACGAGCTTGGGGCCCCCACTGCCCTTAGATCACAGACTGGAATGCATTTCCTGAGAAGACAGCCCCACACCCACTGGGTCCGTGAATGCAGCTCTCTAGAAAGAATTTCTGAAGGGAGAAAAGGGAACATCTACTTCTACCTTCTTACCTCCCCCTTGAAGCCCTCACCATCCTACGCACCCCACCCCCCTGCCACCCCAACTGCTGCTTATGCAAAACTAACCACCTGCCACCTCCAGGCCACCCACCTAGGCTCTCTCTCCCCAGAGCTAGTCAGGTCAGGATTCTGCCCAGAAACAATTGCCAATGCTGCTAGTGGGCCGTGGTCAGTACAAACTGTTAGACACTTTCTCTCCTTTGAGGCTCAGAGAGGGCAGTGCTTTGCTCAAGGCTGCACAGCACCGTCCTCCCAGAGGATGGGAGCCCTGGGCCTCTGGGGCTGGCGTGGCAGCCGGGATGGGGGAAGGGGAGTGGAGGAAACAGTCTCCGACCTGGTCCTAATACTGGCCACTGCTGGCTGAGGCCCTGCCAAGGCCGGGCTGAGTTAGGGACTCCAGAGGCCGGCATGTGGGGGCCAAGCAGACCTGGCTCCCAGCGGCTCTGGCTTGACCAAGGCCACGGCTGACCAGCAGCAGAGCCCGAACTCGTGCACCCGCTGCCAGGGCATCCACACCGAGGGGCCTGTGGGCTCCCTGTGCCCTCTCTCCCGACTGCAGGTGAAGCCAGAGGTCCTCAGCCACCCCGAGCAGTTCTCTCTCATCTACTCGGCCCACCCCTTCATCGTGCCCGGCGGACGCTTCGTCGAAGTCTACTACTGGTGAGCGGCCAGAGCTACAGGGCAGCAGGCGGGGAGCCGGGCCGGCGGGCTGTCCTGAGCAGAGGGGGCACCCTGACTGGCCCGGTGCGCAGGGCGGGAGAGGGGTGGTGTAGGGGTTGGTGCTCAAGCTGTCCCTTTCCCCAGGGACTCCTACTGGGTGATGGAGGGGCTGCTCCTGTCTGAGATGCCCCAGACGGTGAAGGGCATGCTGCAGAACTTCCTGGACCTGGTGCGGCTGTAAGCGGGGCGGCCCCTCAGGCTGGGGCGGGGAAGCGTGGGCCTGGGGCTTGGCGCTGGGTTGGCCTTGGCCTTGGCCGCTGGGCAGATGCACCTCAGCAGGTGTCCCTCTCGGCAGCTATGGACACGTCCCCAACGGGGCCCGCGTGTACTACCTGCAGAGGAGCCAGCCTCCCCTCCTGACTCTCATGATGGACCGCTACGTGACCCACACCAACGACACTGCCTTCCTCAGGTGGGTCCCCAGTCCCCCTGCTGCCCCGCAGGCCCCCCTACCTGGGCCCTCCCAGGGCGGGACTGAGGGGTGTGCCTGGGCTGAGGCGGTGCCTGGCTCCACCCCAGGGACAACATAGGGACCCTAGCCTTGGAACTGGACTTCTGGATGGAGAACAGGACCATCTCTGTGAGCTCGGGGGGCCAGAGCTACATCCTGAACCACTATGCTGTCCCTTACGGGGGCCCCAGGTAAGGAGCCGCTTCCAGCCTCTCGGTCTCTAGCTCCTCACTCTGGTCTGAGGGCCATGACAGCCCCGCCTCTCGGATGCTGATACTGAAAGCCCTGGGCAATCCAGGGCCCACCAAGGGCAGTCCAGGGGCAGCTGAAGCAGCATGGCTCAGCCTCCAGCTTGGCCGTGGAGCCTCCCGGTGCCAGGATGCCCACTTTCCTCTTCCAGGCCAGAGGCCTACAGCAAGGATTTTGAGCTGGCGGACACGTTGCCAGAGGGTAAGCAGCAACAAGTGCAGGACCTGGGGTGGGGCAGGGAGTCTGGTGTTGGGTGTCAGGTCTTGGCCCCTCATTCCCTGCCCCATTGTCCTCACAGAGGACCGGGTGGCTCTGTGGGCTGAGCTCAAGGCTGGGGCTGAGTCTGGCTGGGACTTCTCTTCACGGTGGCTCGTCGGAGGCCCAAACTCTACATCGCTCAGCAGCATCCGGACCAGCAAATTCGTGCCTGTTGACCTCAATGCCTTTCTGTGCCAGGCAGAGGCGCTGATGAGCAACTTCTACGCCAGGCTGGGTGAGCAGCCCCGTGGGGGGGTGGGGGAGGTGGAGCTCACCCAGCTGGAGTCCTACCTCAGCCTTGGCTGTGGAGCTGGAAGTAGGACCCTGACTGAAGGGCCTCCAACCTCCTGGCTGGCTCCGGACCTCACCTCTAGGGCAAGAGTACAAATGGGCCCCCTTCTCCACACCCCCTCCCTTTCTTACTGGGAGGGACTATGAGGGTATGTGAGAGGACACCTGAGTCCATGCTTTCAAACTCCCTCCATTCTCTTTCCCCAAAAAACTGCCCTCGGACCTCTCGGAGCTAGGGAAATGCACATGGCCGGTGCCCTCCTAGGATGGACCCAGGAGCAGGCAGATGTGGGTCTAGAAAGTCCTACAGGGCCATAGCTCAGGAACTCTTAGCTCCTAGAGGCCAGAAATGTGGGCTCCAGGTCTGCACGTCCCCTTGGTGTCAGGACTTCTAGCCCTCAGGGAGGACAACAGGGGGAGGCCAATTTTGGCCTCTTTCTTGAAGGCATGGGACCCAAGGTCAGGGCCTCCCGGTAGCTCAGCCTAAAGAGAGTTTCACCCCAGGGAATGACATCCAAGCCACAAAGTACAGAAATCTGCAGCAACAGCGCTTGGCTGCCATGAGAGCCATCCTGTGGGATGAAAAGAAAGGGGCCTGGTTTGACTATGACCTTGAGAATGGAAAGAAGAACCTAGAGTTTTACCCATCCAACCTCACTCCTCTCTGGTCTGGCTGTTTCTCTGACCCGGACGCCGTGGACAAGGCTCTGAACTATCTGGAGGTGAGGGGGCAGCAGGGCGGGCGGGTTACTGGGGGCAGCACGACCTGCTCTCTCCCTGCATCAGAGCCAGGGATCTCTGGCAAGTGGCAGCCAACCCTCTCCTCCACTCCCAAGTCTGAGCCCGCGGGTCCCGCTGAAGCCACCAGGGGGCAGCCCTGAGCAAGAAGAGAAAGTCCAGGGCCGGGGACACCTGTCTTGAGGAGGGCCCAGCCTCTTGGCTCCTCATCGAGCCGCCACGCACAGTCCTGAAAATGTCTGAAACCTCCTAGGAGAGCCAGATCTTGACCTACCAGTACGGGATCCCGACCTCTCTCCAGAAGACAGGCCAGCAATGGGACTTCCCCAATGCCTGGGCCCCCCTGCAAGACCTGGTCATCAGAGGTAGGGAGTAGGGAGGCAGGGATGGGGCTTATCCCAGGACCTCCCCCCCCCCCCCCCCCCCGCTTGCATCTGGTCAGCCTGGAGGGTCAGCCTCCTGGTGCGGGGGAGGTGTGAACAAAGCAGGTGGGGTCTTTCTCTGGCTTTTCTGGTTTCTCGGCTCCCCACTCAGCAGACATGTGTGTCCACCCCCACCTGTCAGGGGAACCAGCCCTCCTTTCTCCCTCCAAACCCAGGCCCTGGGGAAGGAGCACGCTGGCTTTTCACGAGGCTCATGATGGAGGTCTTAAGGCCCAGACCTCTTTCCCTCCTTGAGGAGAGTAAGGCTCAGGCATCTGCTCCCCTTGGGATGGGGACTTAGGAGATTCAGGGTCCTGCCTGGGCGGGGGGGCGCATCTAGGTCTGGCCAAGTCTCCTTCACCTCGGGCCCAGGAAGTGGCTTTCCAGCTGGCTCAGAATTGGATCCGAACCAACTTTGAGGTCTACTCCCAAAAGTCAGCCATGTTTGAGAAGGTGAGCTGCTCCTGAGGACAGAGCCTCCTGGGCTCTTCCCCATGGTGGGCTGGGGGGGGGGGGGGGGGGGGCAGGGATGAGTGCCAGGCTTTGCCAAGCCCAGGGACAGTGGTGACGCCCGGTGGCCATTCTTGGGCACTGCAGGGGTCAGAGCTGCAGGCCAGAGCAGCCTCTCCCAAAGGGGCTCTCATCTCTTGCTCCCCTGGAGGGCTGAAGTAGGGAGCCTGGGGTAGTGCCCCCTGAGAGCCTGTGCTTTTGTTCCCAGTATGACATCAGCAATGGTGGGCAGCCAGGTGGAGGAGGGGAGTATGAAGTTCAGGTGAGTGGGCCCACACCCTACTGGGAATGACAGGGCTGTGTTGTCCCCACACCTGGCCATGACCTTCCCTGCCTAGGCCTGTGTTTCCTCCCATGGATGTGGGTCCACGGGAGGCTGACTGGAGCTCCTCTGCAGCCCTGGGGCTAGGCAGTTCTAGAGCCTCTGGGTGGAGATCTCACAGCCCCTAAAAGGCTGTGGGGCCTTTCCCCAGAGATCCTGGTCCACTGGTCCTGTCTCTCTCCAGGAGGGCTTTGGCTGGACCAATGGAGTGGTCCTGATGCTCCTGGACCGCTACGGTGACCGGCTGACCTCGGGGACCCAGACAGCTTTCCTGGAGCCCCACTGCCTCACAGCTGCCCTCCTGCTCAGCCTCCTGCTCAGCCTCCTGCTCAGCCTCCTGCCGCAGTGATGGGCCTCCCTGCCCAGTCTGCCTCATTAAACTTCTGTGTGAGTCCCTACCTTCTCCATTGCTTCTTCATCCCCCACCCCCAGCCAGTCCTTGGAGTGGGGTCAGAGTAGGGACCTAGAAGTCATGGGTTGGGCCCTTGTGCCTCCTGGAACATCAATGAGGAGGAAATCCTGTTTTGTGGGGACATTTGGTCCTCCTCCCCTTGTATCCCAGCCCCATCCCCCACACAGCCTGGCTCCCAAACACATAATCCAAATGGTTTATTATTCTGTTGAGATGCTTACAAATACTGACCATCACCCAGCCCGGGGCCCAGCAGCCATGGCCCAGTGGTGGGCAGGGAGGTGGGCTTAGTGTTAAGGCGTGAAGGGCCGAGGCCAGATAGCTGGTGGCCTGGTCCTCTGCTCTCCATTTCTGTCACCCTTCCAAGGCTGAAGGGAGGGCAGCCAGACCTCAGGGTCCTCTCACTCTGCCTCCTCCTCTCTTGCTCAGGTTCCCCTTGGGGGTGTCTGAGCAGCCCTCCAGCCCTATTAGGAACTCAGCCTGTGCAATCCATCTAGCCGCCTCTCCCATCTGCCTCCCTCCTCCTCCAGTCTGGATGTCCGAGCTTCGTCCCTTCTGGCTCTAAGCAAGGCACGAGTGGAAGGGAGAGGGCTGGACTGGGGGGCCAGAAGGCTGCACACCGGGGCCTGGAGCCACAGGCAGGGGATGGCCGGGGCGGGGATTGGTCCTTCCCCCCGCCCCAGCATGAGATGCACAAGGTCCTGGGCTGGAGAGATGGCAGTACGTACCCTCAGATGGGCCCACGGCTGAAGCATGGGCAGAGCCACAGAGCCGGGGCCATGAGCATGTATGTAACCATGGCGACGAAGCAGTCACTGTGGAGATCAGGGTTTGGGGTCTGCAAAAAGGGGACGGGGTTGGGACCTCAAGGATGACACTTGAGGTCTCTGGCCCTTGAACAAAGTAATAACAAAAATGCAGGAGAGCAGGGTAGAGCGGGGTTTGAGAAGTACACCGCCTGAGCTGTTACCCCACTCCGGATGTGGCTGTCCTCAGCCCCCAAAGCCCCTGCAAAGGGGAGGGGGGCGGAGGCAAGGAGGGATCTTTGGCAGATTCTGGTACCATAATTTGTCCTTTGCGAAGGAGAACTTAGGCTAGGGGAGCGCTGGTGCCAGGTCAGAGCTGGGCCTGCTCTGCCAGCTGCTCAGCCCTGGCAGCCCTGGGGCCGGACCGTGAAGGGTTCTTGCCAGTTCTGAGTCCCCAGTAGCCTCCCCACTTATCTGCTGGCGGGTTCTTCAGGGGCCCTGAGCGCGGACATTCCCAGGACCAGCTCCTTACAGAAAGGTACGAAGTCTTGTACAAGAGCCCTCCCAGGGCCTCTGGGAGCACTGCCGCGCGGCCTGGGGCCCAGAGTGCGACTCTGTCTCCCGGGCAGTGCAGCAGGCCCACGCCGGGACCGGTACGGTCAGTTCATGAACTGTGTGTAGCCCTCGGCTCCGGTGACGATGACATCCATCCAGATGCGCATGGCCTCCGCTGACGGCGCCACCATGTAGTACAGCCGGTCGTGGGTCTTCACACAGAAGGTGAGGGCTGGGTTCGGGCTCTGCCCAGGGAGAGAGGAAGGTCTAAGACAGGGCTCACCTCTGACCTTCCATCTGCCCTTTGCCCCCCACCCCCCGGCTCCAGGGTGCCCTGGAGCTCGAGACTGAGTCCCCATCAGTCAAGGAGGCCCCAGGCCCCCGGGCTGTCCTTGGACCTGGGCAGGGCCATACCCTGCCATGTAGGGGCCCTGTTTCTGGGCAGCCCCAGGCATAAAAGTGAGTAGCAACAGAATCGGACACAGAGGGCCCTGCCCGTGAGGACCAGAGCCTCCGCTCGGCGTCAAAGCGGCAGGTGGAGAGAGCTGTGAGTGGGATGCTGGGCCCAGGACCCCCAGACGAGTAGAGGTCAGAGCTGAGGCGGCACCAGAGGCTTGGGGGAGGCTGATCTGCGTGACGGCAGAGGGCCCAGGCCTCAAATATGTCCCCTTTACTGATCCCCTCAGCCCCACCCCATCCCTGACAACCCCTTCCTCCCCTCCAAGCCATCCGGGCCCGCCCACCTCCCCACAGGGGCCCAGCCTGCTGTCCTCTCAGGAGGGGCCAGCAAGCCCCTTGGGCTCACAGGGGCTCCCTGCAGCCCCTGCCGCTCCTCCCTCGGGCCGGGGGAGGGGGCTGGAGGGGAGAGTGAGGGGTCAGGGACCAGTAAGGGACAGGAGGCATTAATGTGCAGTAGTTCTGGTTAGAGGTCGGGGGAGGGGTACCTCAGTCACCACAGTGAAGCTGAAAAACCTCTTCTGGGAAGGGGAGAGGGAGAGAGGGAAAGAGTTTACACGGAGATCAAGGAAGGGGTCCAGGACTCAAAAAGATGGGCTGGAGGTGGCTGTTCCCAGAAGCCCGCCGCCCCTGGTCCCCGCGGCCCGCCCTCACCTTGGCTGCACTGCGCAGGTGGTCATAGTACACTTCCTCGATGGCCTGGAAGTAGATGACCCCCTTCAGCTTCGTCTCGTGCTTGTCTACAAAGAAAGCAGGGCCGGGCTGAGGAGGCCTGCCGTCCCGCAGGTGAGGCGCCCGCGATGGAAATGGGCAGGTTCCCAGGACTCCAAAACGGAGCCTGGCACGGAGCCCGAAGAGATGGTCGGCGCCCAGCCTTGCTTGGAATTAGAGAACGCAAATTACAGCTGCACAGCCATCAGAAGGGCAAACAGGTGAAAAGGCGACAGCACGCTCTGGGCAAAGCTGGAGAAACAGCTGGTCTGACCGACGACAGGCATACACAGCCTCAGCCCTACAGGAGGATGGGCCGGGTCTACCGCAATGAGGAAAGTGTTTGCCCCCTGAGCCAACGATCCCACTTACGAACAATTACCTCACAACCAACAAACTTACGGGACTGTTCACCACAACCGTGTTCGCAGTTTGGAAACAAACCAAGGGTCCATCAAGTAGATGGATTTATTGGTTAATAAATCAGAGTTTAGCACGTGATGGGACGCTAGACCTCCGTTAATGATACAGAAATGTAGGGCGCCTGGGTGGCTCGTGGGCTTAGCCTCTCCTCTGCCTTCGGCTCAGGTCATGATCTCAGGTCCTGGGATCAAGTCCTGCATGAGGCAAGGGTTCTACAGAGCAGAGGGCAGGACCCCATTCCCAGTAAGGCAGGGCCAGGGAAGCCTTCACAGAGGTTGTATCTGATCTGGACCCTGTGGCAGAGACGGGTTCCACCAAGTCAGTGGGAGGAGGGGCCAGGCCAGGGCAGGAAGAACCACAAGCTCGAAGGCAGGAGCAGCCAAGTCACACTCAGGGCCCTAATGAGGCCCCAGGCCCGTCTCCATCAGACACTTCTGCTTCAGACAAGGACGCAGCCCCACCCCCGCCCCCAGGCCTGGCCATCCCTCCAACAGCGGCTGCTTCCCACCTCTTCCTTCACAGAAAGTCTGAGCTCTGCAGCCCCCCCTTCCTGACCACCTGCCGCTCCTCATCTTGTGCAGTCTGGCTCCTGCCCTGGATGCAGCTCCAATCCCTGGAGGGGCCTCTGGGTCCATGTTGTTCTTGGCCTTTCTGCAGTGTCCCTCATTGCTGGGGACACTCCCTGCCTACAAATGTCTGCTCCTTCGGCTGGCTTCCCTCCCCGTTTCCACCCCTCATCAGGACGTGATCTTCCTTCATTTCAAAAATATTCAGGAAGGTCATGACTGCCCAGCACCAGCCCAGCACCTGGCCTGTGGCTTCCCACTTCCTGCCCGACCCCTTTGCCAGTCCCTCCTCCTACCCCTTCCCCAGCGTACAGCCCTTTCCTTCTTCTCTGCTCTGAAGTCCAACCACCCCAGTTCAGTTTTAGCTCTGGCGCCTCAGCAGCTGTGAGACCTTGGGCAATTTACTTAACCTCTCTGAACCTATGTTCCGTATCTGTAAATGGGTGTAAAATAGTGCTTCCTGCACAAGACGATGAAAAATCAATGAGATGATGCACGCAGAGTGCTTACAGTTCGCGCAGCACTCAGCAGGTATGATCTGCTACAACTGTTACTCCAGCACAGTCAACTTTAACCCTGACCTTTCGCCTAAATGGAGATGGCCCAGGGGCACTTCAACCTCAATATGCCTAAAACGGAGCTCTCCCCCCACCCCCACCGTCTCTCTCTATTGCCCACAAAGTCCCTTCCCAGCTCAGGTGGAAACATGGGGACACATGTGCCTCTGGCCTCTCCTGCCTCCCACACCCAGGGCCCAGGCAATCAGGGAAGGCTTCCTGGAGAGGGTGGCACTTGGTCAGGGACCAGGTTAGACCAGAGGCAGGCACTCTGGGCCTGGGTGTCTCTGCCACCAGACACTTCAGCCCTCTCCTTCCAGGCTCTGAACAGGATTGCTCTTCCCCGCTTTACGGTTGGGCAGAGCTGGGTGACTGGCTGAGCAGCCCCACTAGCGACCTGAGGACAGACCCCAGCCAGGGCATTTAATGCCCATGCAAGGCACAATTAAGCTTCTCTTTACCCTCTGCCACCGTGGCCAGCAACGTTCTAAAAACGCACGCCGTCGAACAAAGGGAACACTGACGCAGAGGGGAGCAGGGCCCCACCGGCCCACAAGGTACACGGACACGTATCGGGCAGGAAAGGAAACTGTGGTTTTGAGCCCCTGGGATCTGAGGACCGGCTGTCCCGCAGCGCAGCCTGGCCTCTCCAGGCCGGTGTGCCACACGGCGTCCTGCACTCAACGTGGGAACCGTCCAGACGGGAACCCCAAGGGCTGGCAGCGACGCTGGAGGCAGCGGGGAGGGAGCAGGACGCACCAGGGGGCCTGTCCCCAGGGCCGTCCCGAGCGCTCCTGGTACCGCTCAGGGGCTCATCAGAGTCTCCGAGGGAACGTGCCCGGGGCAGAATCCACAGGACTCCACATGCCCACGGAGCCTGCGCGGCCCCTACAGCATGTCCATCCTGCCCGGCCTCCCCAGTCTGGCCACTACCTGCCTCCCTGACAGCAGCTGCAGGGACAGCCGCAGCCACCCGGCTAGTCACCAAGGCCTCCGGCAGGGCCCAGAACTCACCCCACGCTCGGGGATGTCGCCACATATGTGAATGACCACGGCTGAAGGCGGACCAGGTGCAGCCTGTGCGCCGTCAGCGAGGGGGGGACAGGCCCCGCTCAGGCCCCCCCACGCCCCCACTGGGAAGCCTGGTGAACACCAGCTGCCCTGGGGGACAGCCCAAGGGTCCCGGCTCCCAGACGTCTGACGGGAACTCACCCACGTAATAGGAAAGGGTGCGCTTGAGCCGGTCGAAGACAAACCAGCGCTTCTTCCACGATTTAATCTTGCCGCCCATCTTGACCAAGTAGCCGCGGCAGACCTGCCAAGGAGCAGGGGTGAGGAAGGACCCAGAGCGAAGCCCCTGGACCCTCTCTTCCTGGAACGGTACCATAAAAGCCATCACCTGTGCCTGGATTCTGGGGGGCTGCAGCCCCCACTGCTTCAGGCCAGCAAGCACGCCCCGGGACGGAGACCTCCAGTGTTAGTGCAGGAACTGGGGCCACTATTCCAAGGGCCCAGGAGGTGTCTAGGCTACAGGGTCCCCTCCCCAGTGCCGGGGGCCCCACAGGCCACACACCTTGCTGCTGAGCACCACGTGCAGACAGGTGTCGACGCCGTGGCCCGAGGACTCGATGTGGGTCTTCAGGTCAAAGTCCTCCTTCCGGATCGGCAGGTAGCGGGTCAGGGGCCGGGCCTGGAAGCAGAGGGCAGTGTCAGCAGTCTTCTCTCTCCCCCATGTCATTGTCCTGTCCAGGTCCCTTGGCTTCAGTCCCAAACCCTCACTGCTGCCATCATGCCTCCCACCCCCGGGGCTACCACTCGGGTTTCACGGTGCTCCTGACAAAAGCAGAGACCTAGCAGGCCGGCATCGAGGCAGCCCCGGCCTGGGCAAACTACTGAGTGGCTCCATGCCTCAGTTTCCCCACCTAGGAGCAAGACGCAGCCGTCCCTGCCTTCTCCCTGCCCCTCGTCTCCCTCCTGGGCTGAGCAGAATAAAGCAAGAGGCCTGAGGTGGGCACGCTCTGGGAAGGAAAGCCCAACAAGCCATCTGGCCTCAGACTCCTCATGGGACCTTGTTTGGATCATGTGGCCTCTCTGGGCCTCCCTTTTCCTTAAAAGTAACACAAGGGCTTTGAACTAGATGATCACTAAGGTCTGTTCCATCTCAAAAATTCTGATACCAGGGGCGCCTGAGTGGCTCAGTGGGTTAAGCCTCTGCCTTCGGCTCAGGTCATGATCTCAGGGTCCTGGGATCGAGCTCCGCATCGGGCTCTCTGCTCAGCAGGGAGCCTGCTTCCCTTCCTGTCTCTCTGCCTACTTGTGATCTCTCTCTCAAATAAATAAATTAAAAAAAAAATTCTGATACCAGCTAGACCCCTCAGTCCACTGGAATTTTTTTCCTACTCTTCCTCTATATTAGAAAGGCCAGAAAAGGAAACACCATAAATTATTTAGAGAAAAAACAAAATGCACAGCTTCCAGGAGATGCCCCCGAAGACAGGCTGGCTGCACCCACTCCCACAGCAGACACCGCTGTCCCTGGAGCAATGTCTGAGCCCCACGGCAGGGGCGAGGGGAGACATACGTGAAGCGGCCACTGAAGAGGCCGGAAAGGGGAACTGGATGCCTGACAGAGATCCCAAGCATGGAGGGAAAACTCAAGAGTTTCTGATTATTTCATCTGTAGTTTTTTTGAGAGAGAGGGAGGGAGTGTGAGGGGGCAGGGGCAGAGGGAGAGCCCCAAGCCAGCTCCACACCCAGCGCGGAGCCCGATGTGGGGCTCAATCTCATGACCCCGAGATCATGACCTGAGCTGAAACTGAGAGTCAGACGCTTAACTGACGGAGCCACCCAGGCACCCCCTGGTTATTTCTTAATTCCCAAACCCAATCCAGGTGGCCTACCCCCTTAGAATTCATGTTGTTGCGTCACAGGATGTCAGGGAGCTGTGTTCACTGGTCGCTGCTGGGGAAGATCCCACCGGACCCCCCACCCTGGAGCGGAGCTTGTAAGACCCAGCAGGAAGGACTAGCCTGTCTGAGTCCCACAGGCTCTCGCAGTCGGGGGCCAGGATCTGAGACCAGAGACAGCGTAGATCTCCCTATACAACCCAACTTCTTCTGCCTTCAACTGTTCTACTCAAACCTTCTGCGTAAAGAAAAAGCTCAGGATTCCCGTCCCAGAACGAGTACAGTTCTCTCCCGGAGAGGCAAACCGGAAGTCAGGGTGACCCCACCTGCTGGGAGCGGGGGCGCCTGGAGCTGCTGAGTCTGGGGCAGCGAGGGCCAGGACAGCCGCGAAATACAGACGCGCACACACACACGCGCGCGCACACACACGCAGGTCTCTGCTCCTGCCGGCTGAACGAGACTCAGAATTCTGCTCGTACGGAGCCAACAGCAATCTTTTCTGGAGGACAAGCTGCATGACCCTGCAGGACCAGCCCAGGGCATCCCCAGCCCTCCACAGCCCCGCCCTCAAGCCAACCACCCAGCACACCCCAGCGCCCACGCACCTGGGAAAACTGTTTCTCCCTCATCTTGACCTCCTTCTCCACCAGCTGCTGCCTCCTAGCGCTCTCGCTCTGCAGCCTCCGTTCCACCTGCTCACGCCGCCTCCGCTCCTCCTCGAGGGCCTGCCTCCGGAGCTCCATCTCCCGCTCCTGCCCCCAAAGCCAGGGGTCAGCGCCCACGGCTGCCCCCTTCCCCCGCCGCCCCTCCTCAGGCTGGGGAAGAGCCACAGGCAGCACACACCTCAGGGGGCAGCCCGGCACCAGAGAGCATCACCCCCAAAACCCACCCTCTGCAGGCACCTCGCCAGTCAGGTTAAATGCTTTGATGTGAAACCTCCTGGCTTTGGGGGCGCATGGGTGGCTCAGTGGGTTAAGCCTCTGCCTTCGGCTCAGGTCATGATCTCAGGGTCCTGGGATCAAGCCCCGCATCAGGCTCTCTGCTCGGCGGGGAGCCTGCTTCCCCCCTCTCTCTTCCTGTCTGCCTACTTGTGATCTTACTCTGTGTCAAGTGAGTAAATAAACAAAATCTTTACCAAAAAAAAAAAAAAGAGAGAGAGAGAGAGAGAGAAAGAAACCTTCTGGCTTCAGATTCAGATCTGCTGCCAGGATGAGCTCTGCAAGCCTGACAAAACCACTTAAACCCCCTTGTCCTCTGCTGTCTCATCTGTAAAATGGGGCCGAGCATACCTCCCTTCAGGGATTAGAGTGACACTTAAACGAGGTCATGTAGCTAAACGCCCATCACAGATGCCAGCAGCACAGAAGCGCCGGATAAACGGGGTTCGTCACGCTTTACCTGAGCTCCTAGCACACACGCGACCTGACTTGCCCTAATATTGAGTATATTCCATAGTCCCTCCCGAACCACTAAGGCCCTTTGAAAGCAAAATACAAACATTCCTAGTTGAACTTTGAAATTTCTGGGGAAAAAAGACACGAACTTACAGAAGCCATTCTTAAAAGGGTTTAAAAGTCATTAGAACAAATCCTCAAACACAGAGCCCGTCCGTGGCGTGCTGTGTCCTCATCAACACTGACGACCTTAGCACCATCCACTCCTGGCTGCCATTTCTCCCCAGCCCCAAACTGACCAGAGTCTCCTTTCTCTCCGTCTGCCAAGCTGCTTGCAAATGTGCCCTCCTTCGATGGGAGTACCACTGAGAGGCCTTCTTTTCTGGCTGGCCCAGTGGAGGCCTCCTGCCCCCAGCCCCACTCACCCCTCCAGAGACACAGAGCGCCCAGCAGGTGAAGACAGAACAGCCTCTGCAGAGACCCCCACAACCCCCTTCCGCAGGCCCAGGCCCCTCAGCCTGGCTGTGCCTGGGACACCGCTCTGGTCCCACCTATAGGCCTGCAGGCAGGAGCCACGGCCTCCCTCTGCCCCACCCCCACCCCTCACACTGCCCACAGACCCTCCACCAACACCCCTGCTCTGGCCTGGACACCTGCCTGCTCTTCTAGTCCGACCCCTCAGGCCCCCATTCCCACCTTTCCTGCCCCTGGGGGAGACCAGAATCAGTTCCCATGGTGGCCAAAACACCCCCGAGCCAAACACACAGGGGCCGGAAGCTGCTGTCCGGGACATGCCTGGCAGTGACCATGCTGCTACCCCTTGTCCTGAGAGCTGGGACACCTGCCATGTGGCCAGGCCTCCTCCACTTGAGGAACGTGAACTTTTAAACCCTTTCTCCCTCAAGGGAAGGTCTCGAGGCGCTGGGGGCAGAGAGGCTGGGGTCGCCGGAGCGGGTCCGCCTCACCCTGGACTCCATGAGCCGGCTCTTCTCGGCATGCGCCTCCTTTAGCATCTTCTCCATCTCCTCGATCTTGGCCACGTCCAGGCCGCTGGCGCTGGAGGGAGAGGGAGAGCGGGGGCATCAGGAAGCTGGAGGCGGCTGGCAGAGGCGGGGCCGGCCCCCGGGGGCAGGTACCTGGACATGGTGTCAGGCGAGCAGGCTGAGTTGCCACCCGTGGAGATGCTGGTCTCCATGCTGTCCGAGCTCTCCAGGCTCAGCGTGTCGTAGGCGTGCTCGCCGTCCTCCCCGCGCTCCCGGCCGGCTGGCAGGTGGTGCAGGATGGAGTGGTGCATGAGCGGGGGGAAGCCGGAGGGGCCTGGCGGGAAGGGGGCCGCCCCGTGCAGGGCGTCCCACTGGCACTGGGCCTCGGCCGCCGCCTTCTGCTTCAGCTCTGCCAGGCGCCGCCGCTGCTCCTCAATCACCTGCTGTCCTGCGGGGGGGGGGGGGCGGTGTCACAGCGGGCCCTCTGGGGGACACGGGCAGCATCACAGAGGGACGAGGTGAGCCCAGCCCTCGGCCCCCACCAGCTTCCCTAAAGCCCCGCCAGCACTGCGGTCGCCTGCACGACTGGACACGGCCACGTCGTGTGGCTTCAGCGCTCCTTCTGCATCCTGGGCCCAGCGGGGCACAGACCCTGCCCGGGCGGTGCCTCCAGCTCACCATCATCACCTGGAGAGCAGGGCAGGACACATGCACCACCCGCCTGCTGGGGAGGGGAAGGGGAGGGGGGCGAGGTCCGTGAGCAGGGTGTCCATGCAGCGCCCGCAGTGACGCACAAGCAAGAGCGACACCAGCAGCGAAGAGGAGACGACGCAGAGCACAGCTGAGGCATGGGCCAGTCCAGCTCAAGGGGTGCGGCCAGCTGGACACCCCATCCCAGCTCAGCCGGGGAGGCCACAGGGGGCCAGGGCGGGGCAGCAAGGACCTGCGCAGGACACGTCATGCAGATGCCCAGGTGGGGCCGCCTGACCAAAGCAATGCCCCCAGTGACCACCGCTCTACCTGCTGGGCTGTCGGCTGGGGGGGGCTCGGCAGGAAGCGACTCGCCTGGTGTGGGGGCCCCGGGCAAAGGGTAGGGTAGAGAGACACAGAGGGGATGAGACGAGGGAGAGGCACAGACATGGGCTTTCAGAACAACCAAGATGCACACAGGCAACCAGGCCTCCTGGGTCCCCAGAGCTGGTATCTCAAAGAACCGGCTCTGGAGGCCATCAGGTACCCCACCCCCATCTCCAGACAGGGTGACGTCCATCCCAGCTCAGGCCGACAAGCATCTCCCTTCTTTGCTGAGCTCTCTGGGAAAGTCTGTACGGCCCCCAGCCCTCAGTCTCTTGATAAATGTCCAGGAAGCTCTTCAGATACTCAATCTAAACGTTTCCTGCGCTTGCCTACAACTCCATTAAAGCAAAGAAACGCCGTGGCAAGTGTGGTGTAGGGGGCTCGGGGCAGATATCCAGGGCCCCTGGGAAAGCAGCCACTCACCCTTCTGCTGCAGGGCAAGCTGGCGCTTGGTCTCGATGTCCTGCAGCGTGGCCGCCAGGTTTCGAGGAAGGCTGCCTGTCCCATTCTGGGCGAGTAGAGCACTCTGGGGGTGGGGGAATGGAGCACTGGGACCCGGCTCTCGGAAGACCCCGCCTCCCAAAGCTTTCCTGGGTGGCCTTGACCTCTCCCCCGTAGCATACCCTCCCCGTCCCTACCCCCGCCATGCCACACAAGGAGCCCACCCAATGTCCTCAGACCTTTGGAGAGGGGCTCCGGCCCAGGGTAGCCACGCTGAGCTGGGAGGAAGAAGAAGAAGAGCCAGAGGAAGAGGGGAGGGGGCCACTGCGGGTCCGGGGCAAGGGGCTGGTGGCCTCACCATCCATCTTGGAGCGGTAAACCTGGAGGGAAGAGATCCTGCCTGGTCAGCTCTGGCTTGCCCACCGGCTGCCAACCCCATGTCACCTAGGCCAGCTGTGATCCAGGTCCTGCCCTGGCACCAGGACTCCCAGGCTGTTTCACTAGACAACGGCATCGAGCTTCTTGGGCCAGCCCAATGGACAGGTGCAACAGGTGGGACAGGTGTTATAGGCAGCCGCCAAGCCTTTTCCAGGCAGCTCCTCTCTGGGCCAATCCCAGGCCCCACCCCAGGTCTGAGAGAAGATCCTTGGGAGGAGGCATTCACATCTGTTGGGCAGGGCTGTGCTGGAGACCAACAGGAGGTCAGGCTTCCTTCAGGTCCTGCCTGGCTGCTAGTAGGCTCTGCGACCTTGGGCTGTGTACCTCCCAGCTCTGGGCCCTGGCTTCCTTATCTGCAAAAGGAGGGAGTGGCACTAGCCGAAGGAACTGCCCAGCTCCCTCCCGGCCTTCACGCCAGCTGAATACGGGGTCTGGAGGCATGAACCCCGACTCCCAGCACCAGCTCTGCCACTTCCTAGTCGTGGGGCCTTGGGGGGGATGACTGACTTCTCCGAGCCCCAGTGTTGGCTCTGTAAAAGCAGAGAGTGAACTGATGGTCACATGAATCAAAACACATACAAATCTCGGGGTTCCTGGGGGGCTCAGTCGGTTGAGCGTCTGCCTTCGTCTCAGGTCATGATCCTGGGGTCCTGGGATCGAGTCCGCATTGGGCTCCCTGCTCAGTGGGGCGCCTGCTTCTCCCTCTGCCTGCCTCTCCCCTCTGCTCATGTTCTCTCTCTCAAATAAATAAAATCTTTAAAAAAACAAACTTCTGGGACGCCTGGGTGGCTCAGTTGGTTAAGCAGCTGCCTTCGGCTCAGGTCATGATCCCAGCGTCCTGGGATCGAGTCCCACATCGGGCTCCTTGCTCGGCGGGGAGCCTGCTTCTCCCTCTGCCTCTGCCTGCCATTCTGTCTGCCTGTGCTCGCTCGCTCTCTCTCTGACAAATAAATAAAATCTTAAAAAAAAAAAAAAAAAAAAAAAAAAAAAAACTTCTAACCAGCTGGACATGAAGTACAGCTGCCCCACACGCTAGAAGAATCCAACTCCTCCTAAAGGGAACATGAAACTCGAGATGAGGCCACAAAGACAGAGTGCAGTGCCTGCACCCCAGGAGGGAATCTTGAGCACTAGGGTCCTGGGCACAACCACAGGTCAGCACCCTGACCCCTTCCCCACCCACCGTCAGCAGCTGGCCACAGGCAGGCCCATGCCCTGCACAGAGATGCTGAGGAGGCCCGGGCACGTCTTCAGGGCTGTCACTTCATTCTCTGCCCCACCAGTACTGCCCCTGCCTGTCACTCATGGGGAGACCCGGAGAGCAAAATGCCGACCACACTAGTTCCAGCTGCAAGAGGCCCAAGAGGGCGTCAGAACCCCTAGACCGAGTGAGAGACTCCTGGCCTGAGGGCAGCCGGGGACAGCAGAGCCACAGTCTGCCCTAGCACGAGGCACCAGAGCCACCCCAACCTGACCGCTGCTCCTGAAGGTCCTTCTGCTGGACTGGCAATCCTGCATCTCGTCCGTGGACTCACAGGCTGGCCCTCCAGCTGCCCAAAGGGCTGGGACGGCTGCCCATGAGGCGATGTCAGGACCCAGAGGCCCCTTGCTGCCCTGACTTGACTGACCACCACCTCCCCACCCCATCTGAGGTGGCGCTGTGTGGCCGCTGGACCAGCAGGAGGTACCCAGAGCAGAGGGAAGCAGGGCTCAGAGAGAGGGGGTTACCTGCAGCTGCCGGGAAGCTTTGGCGGGCAGAGGCGGGGGAGAGGAGCGCGGGGAGGCTGCAGCGGGGCCAGTCCCCAGCCCGGCCATCAGCTCCTGGTACCACTGCTCTAAGTCTACAGCAGGGGGCAGCAGCTCCTCCATCTGGAGTGGGGCGCAGGGGTGGGGGGAGGGGCGTGGAGAACAGTCGAGGAGGGGAAGGGAGGGGAAGGTTGGAGGAGGAGTAAAGGCGGGCCACAATGGGAGGGGGGACAGGAAGGTGAGGGAGAAGGGAAGGGAGGAAGGACAGCGTAAAGAGAAGGAGAAAAACAGTGAGCCAACAGTTGCTGTGAACACGCCAAGGGCAAAGAGAAACAGTCAGGACACAACTCCCAGACCAGAGACTCGTGCTATGCCAACCACGATGCCAGCCAGCAGCGCCCACCGGCACGGAGCACTCCCGGGGGCTGGCCTGGAGCTCAAAGCTGGGAAGCAGGGGTGGGACACAGACACACTCACACTCACACACAGCCACTCCGGCAGCGCGCTGGGCACGGCAGGAACACACAGACCACCAACCTTGGGTGAAGGCGTGAGAGAAGCGGAGGAGGAAGAGGGCAGCACGGGAGGAAGGCAGGTGGTGGGAACCAGGTCCCGGGAGGCAGAGACCCAGAAAGGCAGGCCTGGCGCAGGGGCTGTGGGCACGGGCGAGGAGCCCCACATCGCCTTTAGCTGCTCAAGCGTCACGTACTTGGGGGCAGGCCAGGATGCGGGAGGGAATAGGAGAGGTTAATGGAACTGCGGCCCCAGCCCTGCCCATGGGCAAGGGAAGGTAATCACAGGAAGCACACAGCGGCAGAGGCGCTCCTAGCCCCGCAAGGCAAGTCCTCTCAGTTGGCCTGCCCCGCTTTGAGCCACCAGGAGTTGATGATCCCGAGGCCCCCAGGAAGGGAGGAAACCACTCCCAACCCCCTTATGCCAGCGGCCCTTCTCCCTCACTGCTGAAGAGACCCTGTCGTCCCCCAAGCCCCACCCAGGCCAGAGGCACCATCTGGGCACCCACGAGGAGGCACCAGTGGGCTCCCTCCGTGGCTGGTACCTCACTGTCAGGCAGGGGCTGGGCGAGCGCGCCGGGGGAGGCGGCAGAAGCATGGGGGTCCAAGCGGAAGCACAGCTGGAGAACCTCTGCCAGGCTCACATACTCCTAGGGGGCCCGGTGGGCGGGGGAGGGATGGGCAGAGAAGAGGTTAACAGGGTACAACCAGGTACCCAACACCCAAACTCCATGCCTTAGGGCCATCATTCTAGTCAATGCAAGATCCAGAGCAGGGGCGGGGAGCTCAGTGGCCCACTGTGCCTGGAGACAGCTGTGGCCGGGCGGGGGACCAGAAAAGGGCAGGGGACCAGAAAAGGGCAGGGAGAATGGTCTGAAAGCTCTTCTTGACCTCTACCTTTTGAAGCTGCCTTGGCATCCAGGCCCTGCCCCAGGCAGACCCTGAAGGCCCACCCCTGGGTTTGGTCTGGGCTGGGGACAGGAGAAGCCGAGAGGCCTTCCAAGAGTCCACTGAGGATCAGGACCCAGCCCCCAGACAAGCCTTCTGTCTCTGACACCCTGGGCATCCCCCGTGGGGCACGCACACACACACAGCATGGACACGGCCACCACTCCCAAGCATCTCCTCGCACCCCATCTGCTGGGGCAGGAGCTGGAAGGGGAGGGATGGAGACACCACTAGGGGGTGAGCTAGATGGGCTCTGAGAGAGAGACCTTAGCAGGGAACAGCTCAAAGCCCAAGAAGAAACATGGGCTCAGTGCCCATGGGTTAGTACTTGGAGAGATACTAGCACGTGAGCTTGTGGGGCAGGAGGTCAGGGCCTGGCATAGCCCCCGAGGAGGTCCTCAGCGCCCGGGGCTCCTCTAGGTGCTGCAGGCATGGCAGGCATCCAGAATGCATGCGGAGTGCACGGGAGCCTGAGCCTGCCCTACCCAGAAGGATCCCCAGCCTGGCCTCGCTCCTGAGGGCAATTGTCCTCCAAGGGTCAGGGAAAAGGAAAATGAGCTGGGGGGTCCAGTGGGTTGTGAGAACTGATGAATGGCATGCAGAAGGCATGCAAATTAATACACAAATCGGTGCTCTGGTTTTGCATGGGCTTCCCAGGCCCCCTCCAGAAGAGTGGGATGGCACACTCGCTCAGACTCTCACAAGCTCTGGCCAGAGGGTAACGGCCACAGGCCCTGCAGCCGGGCCCGCGGGAGAAGTTGTAGGCAGGAGCTCGGCAAGCAGGCAGGCAGGCAGTGGGCATGGCAGAGCAGGCAGTCAGCTGTGATTACCTCTTGTGCTCTGGGGCAGAGCTGAATGGAAGCAGGTGGGGTTAGGGGGACAGAGGAGGCCGCAGGCTCTGACGACCCTGGGAAAGGGACCAGAGTCGCAGACCCAGGCCCCATCTCTGAGGCCGCGGAGATGAGCAGTTCAGCCTACAGAGAGGGTACGTGGTGAGGGGCCTCTCCCCTCACACAGCCCAGCCACCCCGCCCCGGGCCTCAGTGGCTCATGCAGGGAGGCGGGGAAAAGAGCTTGGGAACTGGGGCACGTCCTCATTGGGCCTTACACCCCAAGCGTGCAAGGCCTCAGAAAAGAACGGCTTCAGGGATGTCAGTGCCCACTTCTCGGCCAAGAGCCCAGCTCTAGACTGAAGCCCAAGGAGCGCCCAGCTCAGGCCCCCTAGAGTCCTGTGCTCCCCATCAAGGGGATTCTGCCCAGCCCCCGCCCTTACCAAACCTGCCGGCTGCCCAGCCTCCCCAGTCAGGCTGCCTGACTCCTCCAGGTGTATTTAATCCCCCAAATGGTAGTATCAGGAAGATATCTGAAAAGCAGCAGCTGGTAGCCACAGAGGGTCAAATCCCAGACGTCAGGGCCACCCCCACTCAACCTCTCCAGTCTGCGAAAATGTCCCCACACTCAACCCAGGGGCGAAGGTGCCCCCTGTGGCTCCAGAGCCTCCCGAGAGACCCACTGGGCCTGAAGCTAGGGCTGAGCCCAGCTCGTTACCTCTTTGAGAGTGGACGTGGTCTTCGGGAAGGGCCTGCCTCCTGTGAGCGAGTGGTATCTCCCCTCCAACACAGTCAGTCTTTCCTTCTCCTGCAAACCCCAATGGGCAGAGTCAGCACAGGGTGGGAGGGTACTGCGGGCGGGGAGGGGGAAGGCCAAGGAAGGGGGTCCCGCGTGGCCGGCAAAGTGTCCCCCCGTGGCCCCTCCACACCCGTCCCCCACCATCCACCCCAGCCCTGACCCCCCACCCCGCCACCCTGACCGGGGTACCTTCTGCAGCAGCTGCAGAGAGGCGTTCTTGTCCCGCGCCAGGCGCTCGGACTCCTGCACGGCCTGGGCCCGGATCTGGCCCGCCTGGTTGTCCAGGACTGCCAGACGCTCCTAGAGGACAGGGGAGTGGTCGGTCGGGCCTGGGTGACCACAGGGTTGAGCCCACGGGGAGACCCACGTCTTGGGTGGAGGGCACCAACCAGCTCTTGCCCTCGGCTTCAACTCACCCCGGGGAAAACTGGCAACTACAGTCAACTCCTCCCCTCAGTCCTGCCTCAACCAGCGCCACCTGTGCCACTAGGCTCGCCCGCTAGAAGCCGAGTCCCCAGACGCCCCCGCCCCGCCGTCAACAAGTCCAAAACCCAGGGCATACTGAAGAGTTCTCCACAGCCCTCACGCCCACGGCCATCCCCCAAGTCAGCTGCCTCCCCGGCTGGGACCTCTTCACCAGCCTCCTGCTCCCACTCTCGTGACTGTCTGGTGCACCCCCCCACCCCCCACTGCCACAAACACCTTCTTAAAATGGCTTTGGAGCTTTGTTTTTGTTTACTTCTCTAAATTTTCGAACGCTTCTAAAAACATATACGTATTACTTGAAATTTTTTTTTTTTAATCCACACATAAGGTTAGGTCACTCCTCTCCCCAAAATCTTTTGAGTGACCCCTCATTACTCACAGGCCAGAGCAGGGACTCCGAAGCCAGCATTTGAGGGCTCCCGGAACGGGGCCTACACTCTTCAGCCCCCGAGTCCCCCCAGCCTGGCCGTGGGGTACAGTAAGCTGTGCAGCCGCATGCTCTCAGGCCTTCCTAACACCTCCCCCCTCAATGCAGCAGAGCAGCCCCGACTTTCCACCCTCAGAGCTCGCTTAGCTTCCAAGGCCAGCTGAACGCTACCTTCTCTCCCAACACCTTCCTCATCACCACTCAATTTCTTGGCTCCTCCTTCTGTGCTCAGATGACTCTGTAGCGCCCTCTGCCTCATACTACTGGTACTTGTCAACACGTGTCTCCATCACCACCCGGCCCCCTTCTGTCTGATCCAAGGGCAGGGTCACTGTCCCCATATCCCCAGCAGGGCTTAGCCCAGTGCCTGGCTCAACAACCAGGTGCTAAAAGGAAACGAAAAAAGAGAATCACGTGAGAGAGAAGGATGGGGTTGGAAAAAACGGGCTGGGTTAATCCCAGGAGGGCTTCCTGAAAGAAGTGGCCTTAAACCAACACCATTAAGAGTTAAAACCTGGGGGCGCCTGGGTGGCTCAGTGAGTTAAGGCCTCTGCCTTGGGCTCGGGTCACGATCCCAGAGTCCTAGGATCGAGCCCTGCGTTGGGCTCTCTGCTCAGTGGGGAGCCTGTTTCCTTCTCTCTCTTTCTGCCTGCCTCTCTGCCTACTTGTGATCTCTCTGTAAAATAAATAAAATCTTAAAAAAAAATTTTTTTTAATTAAAAAAAAAAAGTTAAAACCTGAACGAGGAGGGAGGGTAGAAGGGAGCTGCCCCAGAACTGGGGTCAGCCCAGGGGGTAATCCCCACAGCAAGATCTGTTGTTTACTGAGAAACTGTTAGTACCCACATGATCTCAGGGTCCTGGCATCGAGCCCCGCATCGGGCTCTCTGTTCAGTGGGGAGCCTGCATTCCCCTCTCCCTCTACCCCTCCCCCCACTTGTGCACACACGTGCCCACACTCTCTCAAATGAATAAATAAAATCTCTAAAAAAAAAAAAAAAAAAAAAGAACACTGATATATTTAGGAGCTAATGAGTGCTAGAGCTGGGATGACACCGAATCTGTTGGGACTCCAAAACCAGTCCTCTGAACCACTCTGCCTCACAGCAGAGATGACAGGGGAGCACCTGACGCCAGGACAGACGGAGTCTGGCATGGGTGGGACACTGGGAGCTGAGGGAGGAGGGGAGGCTGAGTAGGTCAAGAGAAGGCAAAGGGAAGAATGTGACCCCCAGAGTCTCAGTGGCTGAGCTTGGTTCCCAGAAGCCAACATGGGCATGAGGAGGAGAGAACAGGAGTCCAGTCCCACTGACCCCTCCCAAAGTCCCTGGAGCTTTCACCCACCAGGACCTCAAAGGGATGGGATGAGCTGGTCTAGGGCTCCCTGCTGCATCCTCTCCGAAGGGAAGAGGAAGAGGCTGGGGGAGGGCAAGCCCCTGGCCCCAGGGCAGTACAGCGTAAGGAAGAGAGATTTCCAGGCCAGGCAGGTCTGGGATGCTGACTGTGAAGCTTATAAGCTGAGGTGTGGGGCAGACATGGGGCTTCTTGGAGCCCTTGTTTCCTTGTCTATGAAACAAGGATAAGAGCACTGGCCTGTGAGACCACGAGGTTGGCATAAGCTAACCCAAGAAAGCCTCCTGGCACACACCCTTGTGCTCGGGAAATGCTCACTTCCTTCCTTCCTTCCATCTGTCTCCCATCCAGAAGCAGATGCATTTGGAAGGCAGAGAAACTCAGGGACAGGGGCAAGGGATCCGGGCGCAGGGGGAGGTCCAGGAGCTCCCCACATACCACCAGGCTCAAGCTAGCCCTCAAGACGCCAGCCACCACTTTTCGACACCCCTCCCCGATCTCCCTGCCCTCACCTCCCACCCACTCACTTCAGCTGTCTCAGCTTCAGGCATGTGAGCTGCTAACCATCCTCCCTATTCTCCTCCCTGATTTAACAGCTTCCTCCTCCCGAATGTATTATACACACACACACACACACACACACACACACACACACACCCCTGCCCCATCGCCCTGCTCTGGTCTGGCTGAGAGCAGAAGCAGAGGATCACCGCCTCTGGAGCTCCAGAACCCGTGAGGACACCATCCACAATCCCCTTGCTTTCTGGCTCATCAGAGCTAAGGCTGAGCCACAGCTGGAACCTAGGGGATACGCTTCCTAGAACCCCTGGCTGGGTCAGCATCCAGATCCCAGGTCCTTGTATGTTTCCCAGCATGCCCACCAGACAGAGAGACCTGCAAGGGCAGCAGCAAGCCTCCCCCTAGCCTCCTCCTCCCCCGTCTGAACCTCTCATTTCTCTGCCCAGCCAGGGCCAGCTCCGAGCGGGAGCCCCGTCCACTCTCCACTGGGAGCCCACAGTCGCTGACCAGCTGCTGTTGCCCACCCTGCCCGCTACCCTCAGAGCCCGTGCTGTCCCCACACGCTGTCCTGCTGCATTCTCTCCACAGCCTGTTGTTTTGCAGAGAGGGAAACTGAGGCTCAGAAAGGTAAAGTTAGCTTTTACGGGGGATCATCAGCTGGGATCCAGTTCTTTGGCCTCCAACCACCTGGCCCTAAGGTGTCCCTCCCCCCCAGGGGATGGAGCGGGACACACCTTCCTCTTGGTGATGCTGCAGAGAAGCTCGGCCTGGCTCCTGAGCAGCCCCTGGCCCGCCAGCTCCCGCTCCTCCTCCACTCGGCTCTCCCGCTCCAGCTGCTGGAACTCCAAGTCCTCAAACAGTTTTGTCTCCGTCTCCAGGGCCTCGGCCTCCTTGAACGACAGTGACAGAGGGGTTCAGGTGGTGCTCAGGATACGGCTCCAGGCCTGGAAGGCCAGGCCACAGAGGTGGGAGCTCTGAGGGCTGGCCCCAGGGAAATCAGGGAAGGGACCTGCCCCCCCACCCACCCAACCCCCTTTCCTCTGCTTGGCTCTGCCCCTTGCTGGGGTCTCAGCGTCTGGAATAGCAGAAAGGAGAGAAGCACTCCCCCCATCCTGCCCTGTCCCCTCCAAGCCACAGCACCAACCCTGGTGTCCGGCAGGTACTGCAGGGCCCAGGTGGTCCCGTCCCACCGCTCTCCTCTCTTCTGGGTGGGTGGCCCTCGGGGGCCAGGGAAGGGGGGCTGGTGAAACTGACCCTTCTCAGCTGCTCCTGTAACTGTTCCCGCACTGACTCGGGGCAGTTATCGACCTGCGTCTGGAGCTCGGCGTAGAGCGCCTGGCGGGCCTCCAGGTGCCTCCGTCCCGCGGCCAGCTCCGCCCTCTCCTGGTCGGCGGGAGGTGGGGGGAGGGCGGGCACAGGGGAGAAACAGAACACACACTCCTCAACTCCGGCCCGCGGGCTGTGCGGCCGTGGGGGGTGGGGGGTGCGGCTGGGGCAGGAGAGAGAGAGCCAGCAGGGAGAGGGCGGGGGAGGGGGAAGAAGCCAAGGAGGAGCAGAGGAGGATAAGCCAGAGGAGAGAGGAAGAGAGGGGGGAAGGCGCGTGGAAGAGGTGATGAGCGGGAAAGGCCAGGAGCTGCCGTGGGAGACAGGACACTCGCAGGTGCACGGGCCGCGTGAGACAGCCAGAGGAGCGGGTCTCGGGCAGAAATTTTGGTCTCTTGGAGTCCCCTGGACTAAAAACTGTTTGGGGGGGTCCGAGGAAAAGCCCTCTGTTTTCTCTCCAAACCCGTCACAAACACCCAGCCTCTGGCTGCTGTTTCTCCCCCTGCCGCCGCTTGGAGACCAAAATTTCAACCTGGGGCAAAGGGTAGAGCCAGTGAGGGTTAAGTCGTGACTCACAGCGGGAGATGTTAAAGCTTGGGGCAGTGCAGGGCATCAGGGACCCCAGCCCTGGGCCTCCCTGGGCCTCCCTCCCTCCTGCCCAAGGTGGAGGTGGGGGGCTGGGGCACTGCAGGCTGAACTCCAGCGGGATGAGGGTTGCAATTAGTTCGGCCGTTGCCGTGGCAACAGGAGCCCCAGGAGTGGGTACAGAGAGGAGGTACATAGCTCTGTCTGGGGCGAGATGACACCTCTGAGGGCGGGAAGGGGGACGAGGGGTGGATCTGGTGAGTCACCCCTCCGAAGGACAGGCAGAGGAGAAACTATGATTACTGATTCCAAAACCAGAGTGGGGCCATGGGCTGGGGAGGAAAGCCGAGTGAACCTTCCCCACAGCCACTACCTCCTCCCCCTGCCCCCCACCACCACCTCAAATAACTGGGCCCAGGAAGAAGGCAAAGTCCTAGACTCCAGGCAATGCCAGATCAGTGAGACATAAAGTTATGCAGCTTCCCTCGGAAATGCTGAGCTTACTTGAAGTAAGTCCCTCTGTGGGATCCTGCCCCGCCCTCCCAACCCACCCACCCACCCCCCCAACTAGGGAGAGGAGGACCCAATCAGCCCAGTTCCTGGGGTCCAAGCAATTCCCCCTCCTTGGACTCAGCCTTTACAACACCCTATGTTCCAGATGGCTCAGGGGTGGGAGAAGGGGAGAGGCCTACCCGTTCCTTCCCTCTGGCTGGGGTATTTCAATTTGGGAAACCCCAGTGGGGGAAGCTAGGAAGGGCAGCCACGGTGTGGCACAGGGAACCTGTCCAAGCCCTCCACAGGCCACGTTACCCCAGCTGCACCTCCAGACCCTCGGCTGCTCCGGAAGAGAGGGAAGGGAGGCGGATGGCTGGCAGACAGCCAGCTTCTCCCTGCTGTGTAGGAAACCACCCACAGTCTATGGAGGCAGTGCCCAGGGGCTCTTCCAAAGGGGGGCGCTCTTCAGGCTGAGGAGCTCTCAGCCAGGCATTTCCCCCAAGCTTTACCCCTCCTGCCAATGCACCACCAAGTAAAGTTGAGCTGTGCCCCTGTCCATTCCTTTCTGATCAAAACCCTGGAGTCCCACACCAAGAAAGGAAGGAGGCAGAATTAGATGGGGAGAGGTCAAGGGCACAGCGGTGCCCCTGGAGTTAGTACAAAAGCAGGCGTGGCTCAGCCCTGCCTGGGTGGCACTGGCAGTTAGGGGCATGCGGAGAACCCAGGACAGTGATTAGAGGGGGCGTTAGTGCAGGCCTGCTTGGTAAGCATGGAGTTAATTTTGGCACAGAATTTGGGAGTGTGGTTTTGGGGGCCAGAACCAAAGCTCCAAAAAAAAAAAAAAAAAAAAAAAAAGAAAGAAAAAGGAAAATGGGGGAGGGGGCGGTGTCAAAGAATTTTTAAGACTCTCAAAACTGGGATAGGAGGAAGATGCTCTCAAAAAATTCAAAAGGAAAATTAAATCTTGGAAAAAATACTGTCCAGTCCAGAAAGAGGTGACCCCTCTCCACACTCTAGCTTCTGGTACGTGGTTGGGCATCTGGGGCCTGGCGGCAGGGCCGCTATGGGACGGAGCACCCCCTGCAGGCTGGCACGGACTCTGACGGGGCAGGGGCGGGAGCTGGGACCACCTGGGACAGGAGGCTGCAGATCCTGAAGGCTCCGGGGAAGCAGAGACTGAGGGCCATCTCCCAGAGATCACATCCTGAGCACCCAAGGCATGCCCGGAGGGAAATGTTCTCTTGATGGAGGGACCCCATCCCGAACCACTTCCCAGCACCAGTCCCTCAGGCTGTGCTCACTGCCCCAGAAGCGGCTTTGGCACTGCCTAGAAGGGCCACGAAGGACCACAAATGGCAGGTGCCCAGACGTAGCACAGAGACCCAGACAGAGGAGATCCCAGACCCCAGCCCAGCCCCTGACAGTGCCCTTCAAGCTGGTACCTTCCACAGAAGACAAGGCCCCCTGCCCTGGGCAACACAGGGACCACCAGGTCTCCAGGATGGCTGATGAGGGGGGGTAGGAGGCCTAGAGGAGGCACTGCCCCGCTCCCAGGCCGCCGGGAGCCAGCCCTGGGCCAGGCCAGCTGTGCGTTACCTTGTCCCTCTCCTTCTGGATGCCGGTCTCCAACGTCACCAACTTCTCCTGCAGCTGGTCCATTGCCTTCTGCTCCTTCTGCAGCAGCGCCCGCTCCGCCTCCCTCTCCCCCTGCAGCAATGCTCGCTCCATTTCGGCCTGGGGGTGACACGGAGGTCCCCGGCAAGGCCCGTCAGGGCGGGTGGACTCGGACCGCTCCGGAGGCCTTCATGCTGCGTGGGGAGGAGCGCGGCCCGGGCCCTCCTGGCTCACCTCTCGGGCCGACTCCTGCAGCTGCTGCTCCAGCTCCTTCACGCGGACCTTGAGCTGCTCCACGCGCCCCAGCACCTGGGCCCGCTCCTCTTCCAGGGCCAGCACCTCCCCCTGGAGCTTCGTGCCAGGGGCATCTTCATGCTGGGGGGAGGGAAGCCATCAGCTGCGGAAGCCTGGAGCCTTCCCCCATCAGACTCCAGGAATGGAGCCCCATTCCTCAGGGCTCTTGGAAGGGGTAGCTAGACCAAGAAAGGAGGCCAACTCCCCTCCCTGCAAGGAAGCCGTACCCGCTCAGGTAAAGGCAGCGGCGGTTCACCACTGAGGGCCAGGCCTGGAGGACACCCCAAGGAAAGGTGGGTCAGAAAGCATCTCTGTAGCCTGGGAAATGCACCAGGACGGCCTCACTTCTATACCTCTCCTACCCAGTCTCTTCCCAAACCTGCCCCTTTGGTTACCTCCCCCACACTGAGCCTTGGCCTCCACCACTGTGGCCTCCTCTGCCCCCCACGGCCCCCCAGTGGGTCAGACCCAGCCCCTCTCACCAGGTGCCCTTCCGCCCCACCTCCTGCTGGGTGCTCTCCGTGCTGCTACACTCCTCCTTGAGGTTCTCCTCGTCTGACCGCTCCACACACTCCCACAGGCGCTGGGTGGCCACTCCAGGCTCCTCGGCATTCCTCCCAGTGGCCCCTGAAAGGCCCCGGGAGGGCCTCCGGCCTGCCAGCGCCAATGCTGCAGTGGCTTCCCCAATGCTGGGCAGCTCCCCAGCCTCAGGCCCCGCATCGGCCCGGCTGTACTCGGCACACAGGTTCAGGATGGTCTCCAGGCGCTGGCGTTCCTGGGAAGGGTGCACAGAGCAGGGCATGAGAGGGAGGGAAGGAGGGAGGCTGGGTCCTCGCGGAGCTGCAGCCAGGCTCAGCGAGCCATCAGGAGAGAGAACTAGGACTCTAGGTTCTAGGGGCTCAGAAGGAAGTCAAGAGAGCACCAAACCCAAGGCTGGAGGAAGCAAAGGTAAGGAGGGTGTCCCAGGAGCAGGCAGGAGGAACCAGGCCACTGTGCCACCTGCCCACGTGGCTGGCCCCTCCCATCTTCCTGTTTCCTTTCCCTTTTCTTTCTGTCCCCGAGGGGGCTTCCTTGTGGACACCCAGCAACCCAAGCCAGGGAGCAGGCTAAGGACCACAAGGCAATGCTGACAAACAAGCAGGTGCTCGGGCTGACTCGGATCTACAGCCGTCTACACACACAAAGGTACACAGACCCCCCCCCACACACCAGTCCTGACCCACAAGGACACAACACGTGCGTGCTCTGTATATACACTCAGGCAGGCCCACACAGACACCAGCCCTGGCATGCACGGACACACGCCGGCACACACTCACGCAGATAAACACAGTCTAGCGTGCAGACAGGTGGGCACAGACCTAGACGGGGTGGGAAAACAGGCCCACAGGCAGCTGGGGAGCTCAGGTTCCCTCAACGCTGCGCTCAGCCTTTGTACAGCAGGCCAGACAGACCTGGGACATGGTCCTCCTCCTGCCCACCCCAGCTATAAGGCACTCAGGCAGCCCCCCACGTCTTACCAGCCAGGTGAGTTGCTGCCTGCCCTTGAACTCCCAGGCCCAGCCATGAGTGCTCCGAGTGCACCATCCACCCTCACCCCACAAACAGCCCCAGCCGGATACCTCTCAGGGGCCCAAGGGGTCAAGGAGGGACCGTGCAATCATGCTCACGATCTGTGGCTCCCTCTCTCATCCACAGCACTGGAGTTGTGAACTCCACCCCCTCCAGGTGCCCACAGTTCTGCAGGGGACCTCAACCTCAGGGGTCTCTCACTGCACAGTGTGGCCGGGTCCCCAGACACGTACCCAGCTTCCCTCCTGCTGCCTCCTCAGGTCCATATCAAAAACAAAACCAGGAACAGAGCCTCAGCACCCGGGGAGGCAGGGCCAGTGCCCCGCCCCTGCCCCAGGACCCAGATAAGCAGCTGGCTGGAGGTGGGAAGGGCTGGGCTGACAGCCTCCAAGATTTAAAGTGGCAGGTGGGGCAGGTCCCGGCTAGCGATGAGGTGTGCACTGGTGCCTGGGCGTGGGGAGGCTGGGGCCCTCACTCTGCCTTCCCAGACTCACTGCTCCTATTCCATGCTGAGCCCCCAGGGTGGTCCAAGCACCCTCCTCCAGGCCAAGGCATCAACAGTGAAGACGAGATAGAGCGCCAGAAAACACTGGGGATCCGGCCTCATTGATCTCATCTCTTCCCAGACCTGACACAAACACACTGGCCCGCGCCCTCACCTCACCCAAAGCGGTCCCAACCTCTTCTGAAGAGCCCTCCAGACAAACCTCATTTCTGGTTCTCCTCCTCAGACCAATCTCACGGTCGCTGGGCCCCCCCAGCAACCCCGCGCTGCTCACAATCCATTCTCCTGTCCGCGTGTAGAGCCCCCATGAGCTCCCTGCACTATCCGCTATCCGGGGAATCCTGGCCCCCACCCAGCTCAGATGCCGGCTCCAGGACAGCTGCCCAGAGCCACACCCGGCCCCCAAATGCAGCCACATGGCGCACGCCAATGCACATGATCACAATCGCACAGGCCTGGGGCTGCCCTTCCCTGCTTCCCAGATGATCCTGCCTGGGCCACAGTGAGCAGCTCCCACCCATTTGAAAAAAAAACAAAAAGAAGAAAGAAAGAAAGAAAGAAAGAAAGAAAGAAAGAAAGAAAGAAAGAAAGAAAGAAAGAAAGAAAGAAAGAAAGGAGGAAGGAAAGAAAGAAAGAAAGAAAGAAAGAAAGAAATTTTCTAAAGAAAAAGGGGCTTTTCTAAAAAAAAGAAAAATAAAAAAATAAAACAAAAAAAACAAGCCTTGGAAAGACAGGAGATTCCAATTCCCGCTCTGCCAGAACTTGCTGTGTGACCTTGGACACACTTATTCCCCTCTCTGGGCCTCAGCCTCGTCATCATTAAGACCGGCTTCTCAGACTGAGAGGTGCAAGGCCTCACCAGAAATATGGTGCGTTTTCCTATAGCTTTGTCATAGGTCAATAACACAAAATTCAATTTATACATTAAAACAAATGCTGTGTTATCAAAGAAAAGCAAAATTAACAAGAACTTAAAGCCTTTGAGACTGCAAGCAAAACTCTTCAGGGCACCAGACCCTGGAGCTACAGGTCACTAAGGTGCCCCCTGGAAGTAGAAAAGCTGGAGAAGCCCAGGCCCTTCCAAGCAACCCCCAACCGGCCAGCTGGCCTGCCCGCGCCCTGGCAGAGACTCCGCTGTGGACAGTGGTGCCTCCGCGGCATCCGCTCACCAGCCTCTCCATCTCCTGCTCCCAGAGCCGTTCTTGGCGCTGGCGCCGGTGGTACTCCAGGAGGTCGTCCTCATTGTCACTGATCTCCGTGATGCTATTTTTCCGCTCCCGAGTGACAGGCACCCGCAAGTCCCCACTGGACAGCTTCCTCTGGGCGCGGGGGCTCTGGCGGGGCGAGGCCCCTGTCAGAGAGCCCAGACTGTAGGCTGGGCTCAGCCTGCCGCTGAAGCTGCCCTTGCGGGGTGCCAGGGACTCCCCAAGTGTGGGTGAGGGGCTCCGTGTCCTCCGGCCCCGAGCCCCCAGGGTCAGTGAGAAGTCCTCCGGCGAGGCCCCGTGGGCGGCCCAGCGCCGGGGCCGGGGGCTGTCTGCTACTTCTCGGGGGAGCTTGGGATCTGGAGCCGTCCTGGTGGGCATGGGGGAGAGTGCCCGTCGGGACAGAGAGGGGCTCAGCGGAGGGAGCTCTCGCATACTGTCCAGGCCGCGCCGGCCCAGGCGGGGACTCTCGGGAGGCTGCAGGGTGCGGGCGGCTGACCCGTCGGAAAAGGTTCGGCCCACCAGCTGGCGCGAGGGGCTGGTCGTCAACACCCGATCGGTGCCCGGCAGCTCACGGAAAGGGCTGGGAGGGCGGTCCTGGAGTGTGCCAATCTTGTTTCGGGGAGCAGGGACTGGAGGCTGGAACTTGGGGCTGCCAGGAATGCTGGTGGGTTGGCTTCGGGCACCGGAAGCCGGGTACTCACTCAGGCTGATGGCCACCACGGGCAGCTGTCCTCCCAGCCGGGGGCTCTCGGTGGCTCTGCGGGCCTCTGCCAAGACAGTGGCTGCAGGGCTGTCTGTCAGCAGACCTCGGAGGCCAGGACTCGGAGGCCTCTCATGACTCCCCTTCCTGCCCAACCGGGGGCTCTCAGAGGCGCGGGCACCACTCGGCCGGGACTGTGGGGGCTGCAGGGCCAGATGGTAGCTGGAGGAACGGGCGGGAACCAGCGGGGGCATGGAAGGTGCTGGCTCCTGCCCGCTGGGTGAGTGGCTGGCGCAGCTTCCACTGCTGGCCGGTGAGGAGAGTGGAGAGAAGGCTGGAGAGGTGTTCTCATAGCTGGAGCCCACAGACATGGCACCAGGGCTGGTTGGGGGGGACAGCAAGTAGCGCCCACCATTAGCCATGGGCGACAGTGGGGAAGTCGCAGCAGGCTTCTTGCCAGCAGCTCCAGGCTCCTCTAGCACCAGTGAATCCATGATCTCCTGCAGGTCCTTCTCAATAGAGCTCACCAGCGAACTGTGGCTGGCACAGGCGGAGGGTCCCCGGGTTGCAGGCTGTGGGGCGTGGTTCCCATTCACCAGGCTTTCGGACTCTGCTGGTGAGAAATGCAAAGATGCCTCAGACCCTCATCTTCAACTCTGGGGAGCTACAGGTGCACAAGAAGGAGGGCGCTCTCCGACCTCCTCCTAGCAGGGGCCAGGGGAGACAGGTGATCTGGGTGCTTCTCTGCCCCTGACCTGCTGGGCAGCCTTAGATCACCTGCCCTCAGTTCCCCTTTCTATAGAGGAAGGGGATGGGGGCTGTTCTGCTGGCTCCGACATTGCCTGACTCAAGGCAGGGTTGCTAACAGTGCCAGGCACTCCCAGGCCGGTGGTGGTGGGCTCACCCCAAGATGAGGGTCCTCCCTGCCTTGGTTTCCCCAGCCTCCCAACCCTCTCCTTCAGGAAGGGCAGGCGGACATTCTGTAAAGGGGCCGGGGGCACGCTGTGGAGCTGGCCAGAAGTCTGGGGTGGGGGGATCCAGTCTAATGGGACACGAGGGCCTCCCAGAACAGCAGCGGAAACCCAGGGAAAAACACAAATGGAACCTTCGGCGCTGGGCAGGAGGCGTGCCCCACACCCCTCTGTGCAGTCAGAGGGGAAGCCAGGCTGGCCAGCAGATCAGCGCCTGCAATTATCAGCCCGTTAAGCCACGCCAGCAGGAGCCTGACTTTGCCCCGCCCCAGGCCTCGCCAACCAACCAGAAGTCCCTGGAACCGCTGCCCCTAAAGTGGGCGTGGCATGACAAAGGGAGGGTGAGAGCCCGGTAAAGCCAGCCAGGGTGTGGACTGGGAACCCAGGCTCCCAAGGGGCTCACCTGACAGACACAGGTGGACACCTATCCCATTACCACACTGACACTTGCCATCCCACAGCCCTCTGAATGCCCGTGCAGAGTTTTGGGTGCTGGGCTCACTGGCGGTCTCCTGGTCTCCATCCAGCCCCACCCCCTAGGCAGCTGGGTTCAGTGGCGCTGGTCCCCTGCAACAAGCACCAAGTCTCCTCTGAACTTTGGCAATTCACACACCAACTGCAGCCGGTCCGCTGGACAATCGGCTGGCTTGGTCTGGGGGAGGGGCAGGGCCCACAGACCTAATCACCAGCAGGTGGGACCCACCTGCACCTGCACAGGTTCTACCTAAGGCTTCCTTCCTCCCCCTAAGGCCACCGTCAAGGGTGAGGTTCCCGGTGGTGACACAAGAGGCACCTAGTGGTTAGGGTCCCAGACACTGAGGTGGCATCTTCCGGGGCAATGGGGGTGGCAGAGCCCTCTGTCCCTTTGGGCACATGATTCCCCAATCCCAGCCAAGCAGCACTTCTTGGATCTCTCCCAGTAGCCAGACTGCCTGGCATCCTCCTCCAGTGGCCCAATGGCAGGTGGCAGCAAGCCCAGATCGTGGGTATTGTCCTGCCCTGACACCACAAGCATGGCTGGAAGGGGCAGGGAGGAGGACAGTCCAGGAGGACCGCCAACCCAACCCCCGGCCCCAACTGGGCGTCTACCTGAGCCAGGACTGTAGGGGGGCCCTGGGGCCCGGCCCCCTGCCGGAATCATGCTCCTCATCCACTTGGCTTCGGCTGGGTGGTTAAAGCGGAGGAAGGTGGACTGGCCCAGGCACAACATACAGCCTACAGGAAAAGCAAATGCTGAGAAGGGCAGGCAGGGCTGAGGCAGCGTCGCCCCAAAGCACTAGCGGGCTCCGAAGAGCCCCGCCCCCTGCACTGTGCGTGCCACAGTGGCAGTGTGTGGGTCCCATGTCCTAACTCTCGTTGCTAGTGGTGAGATCTTCGGGTGAAGTCACGTCCCCTCCGAGTCCGGTTCTCTCGGTAGGGAAACGAGGACAGTACCATGGACCTTGCAGAGTTAGTAAGACAACGTATGAGAGGGCGTCCTGGGAACGGAGGTTCTTCAGAGAGCACAGATGCCCACATCCCCCCTAAGCTGTACCAATGATCCATCCATCTGCCCCTTGGGTGGAAAAGTCAGTCTGAGAGCAGCAATTTCCAGGATCAAAAAAAGCTCTGAGACAGGGGACAGGGAAAACCCATGAATCAGTTAGATGCCCCCCGAGGAACCAGAATTTGCTTCCTGGCTCCCACTCCTTATCACCCTCCTTATCACTGCATGGCCTAGGGAGAGCCATCACTCTCTTTCTCTCGGACAAAGCACGCTCTGGCCTGACATCTTCCCGCTCCTTGGTCTTCTCTGGAATCCAGCCAAGCCGAGGGCCAATGGGCCCTGCCTCAGCCAAGCACATTCCCAGGCAGCAGACACAAGCCCAGTCCTGCCCAGTAAGTGTGACTCCATGGAGAGGGGAGGGTGTGTGGGCGCCAAAAATGTAGCCAGGGGCACCAAGAGTGTGCACAGCAGCAGGTGTGCCCGCGGGCACCTGAGCCTGGCTCACAGCACTCCTTCTCCTGGACACGCTACAGGATTCCTGCAAAAGATGCTGTGTTGGGAGACACCAGAGCCCAGGGCCCTGTACGACCACCCTCCCAACTTGGCCACACCCATGCCCCCAGCCTACGGACCCAATCTGGTGCCACTTGGCACCCCCGAAGCTTCATGCCAAGTCTACATTCCTGGACGCTGAGACGGTTCCGCTCAGGCAAGCCACAAGGGCAAGGGGCACCCAGGCCAGGTGGCGACCGTGGCAGGCCCCCCACTGAGAAGCTCAGGAGCCCGCCCTCGCTGGTGGGGCAGGCGCCAGCCAGCTGAGCAGTCCCTAGCACATAACCGGACTGGGCAAAGCCACCCACTGCTCCGGCACGCCCAGAGGCTCTCCCAAGCGGGCGGGCACCAACAATTCTAGAGACTGATGGGTGGCTAGGCGAGAGGGGAGCCTTCCCCACCAAGCCGCCCATCAGAGGAGCTGATTCCAGAGTAATCATAATCGGAATAAATAATAGCCAACCACACTTACACCTAATTACAACCACAGCCGTTTCAGAAAGAGCCCTGCTGGCCCCTCCCCCTCCTCTCAGCCCTTTAACAAGGTAATTAATAACGAGTTCTTCGCAGGGTCTAGACAGACCCACTCAATTCTAGATTGACGGGGGTGAGGAGGGATGGGGAGGGGTGGGGAGAGGTAGGGTGGGGCAGGGTGGGGGAAGATATGGGAGCCTGATCACACAGCCCAGTCTGGACACAGGTGTGGAGTCTGAGCGGATTCCGGCCTGTCCTGCCAGGCCCACCCAAGGAGGCGGTGGGCACCCAGGGACCCTCAGCCCTGGCTTCTACAGCTGAGAGCTCCCTGCCCCCTCTTCTGCCCCTCAGCCTCCTGCACTGAGGGGGTGTGGCCTGGCTGCCTCTAGGCTATAAATAGGTGATGTCAGGCAGCAGAGCTGGATCTGTATTAATAGAGCAGGCAGGAGGGCAACAGGCCTCAGAGCAGCTCCCTCCTGCCCAAATTAACTTTCTATTTGAACTCAGGGGCCCCAGGCATGGCCTCAACTCCGGTCTGTCCTGCCCCAAGGGCCTGCCTAGCCTGTTTCTGGAAGGAAACCTCCTTGGGTCCACTCCTGCCCGGCACCTCCAAGGGTCGCCACTCAGGGAACCCCAAGAACCTCTCCTCCCCGTTAAAGTTGAGGTCCAAGCCCCCATCCCCGAAGGGCCCAGCTGTGTGTGTGCAGGTGGGTGGGTGAGAAGCTGCACATCTGGTTGGGGGGGTGGAAACCAGGGCAAAGGAGAGGGCGGATCCTATCTCTGAGAGACACGGAGGGGAAACACCACACACAAACACACTCTCCTACAAGCTCGCACACATACCCGCTGCTAGAAACACCCAGAGAGGCATACCGGCTCCCGCACTCGCGGACTGACAGGCACGGCTCAGCTGCCACACAAACGAATGGACCCGCCAAAGGGAGGCTGGGGTGCGGGGAGATGCGAGGAAGGGCCCCCGCCCTTCCACCAGAGACCCCTCTGGGCCCCAGCACGGGCTTCCCCGTCCCCATCAGGACCCCTCTACCCCTTCCGGAGGCGGGTCCATGGAGGGGACTTCCGAGCACGGAGGGAAGACGAGGTCTGGCTGGCCGAGGGATGGCCCCGAGCCCAGACCTCCCACTCACATGTTCAGGGCACACATGCCACCGAGTCTCACAGCCCCCCAGCTCCCCAAGGTGAGCCGGACCCCCCCACCCGCGGTTGAGTCCCCCCACCGCAGCCCGCAGACGCCCCTCCCAGCCCCCCGCCCAGCCCCTCGGCGCCCGCAGCCCGGGAGAAGCGGCCGGCCGGGCGGAGCACTCACCGGCGAGCCCGGACCTCCGCAGCGCCGGCCCCCCGCTAGCTCGGGCCCTCGGCGCTCCCCACCCGCCCCGGGCCTGCGAGGGGGCGGGCCGACCTCCCGCGCCGCGGGCCCCGGGCTCGGAGCAGCCAGCCGCCAGGCAGCCAGCAGCCGCCAGGGCCCGGGGAGGGGCGGGCCGGCCACCGGCGGGGGAAGGGAGCCAGGGAGGGAGGGACAAAGGAGAGGAGGAGGGGAAGAGGAAGTGATGGAGGAGAGGAGAGGGGAGCGGGATGGAGAGGGCGGGGCGGGAGGGTGCAGGCGGCCAGCCGCCAGGGGACTCCGAGTCGGTGGGTGCGGGAGCAGAAGTGAGACCGGGAGGAAAGGTGCGGGGAGATGAGGCAAGGAAAGGTAAGAGGTAAGTGGAGGCCCGAGGGTGAAGCGTCGTCGGGAGGCAGGAGTGAGGAGAAGCAGGGTCTCACTGAGAGCCCTCTGTGGCTGGCCTCCCAAGAGGCCTGGGAAGGGGCCAGCCCCGAACCCAGCTGGCTGGTCACCTGGGGCCAATCACACCCTCTGGCCCCAGATCCCTTATCTACCAATGGGGAGGTTGTCCTCTTTGACAGCAAAGGTTAAGCTCTGACATTCCATGGCTCCCAGGGCTCCAGCTAGGTCACTAGGTTCAGCTCCTGCACTCCCTGTGCCACTGGGACAAGGTCACTCCTGCGCTGGGAGTTCAGGCCTGCGCTGGGCAGCACTGAGCCTCCCTCCCGTCTCCATCCTAAACACCTCCTCTTCTGCCCCTGCTCCCCACACTCCCAGCAGCTCAGCTCACCCCCAGGCTGGACCAAGGTGCTATCCCTTCCCAGCCAGCCTACTCCCCTGGGGCTCCAGGAGCGAACCTCACCTCCTCCCAACCCCTACCACCAGTTGTGCTAGTCTCCTAGAAGAGCTCTCCCACCCCAGTGAGGCACCCTCCCACCTGGAAAACACAGTGCCACCTGCCTCTGGACACCTCATTGTCTTCCAGAGACCTGCCCTCTGGACACCAGAACCTTAAGGGACACACTGTCTCAGACATACTCTATACGCTCAGAGCTCCCACGCCTCACACACACCAACACACGGACACCACACCTTGGCTGTGCACACTGACACACACAAACACACCATCTCTGACATGTGCTTATTCTCACCCCCATAATACCCCTCTTGGTTACACACTCATTCAGGCACAGACATCCTTTCACTCAGTCCCTGGAGAGACTCTGGAATCAAAAGCCAACCTCCTTAGAGAAAAAAATCATTTCTCCACCCTTGCTAAACACCTACCCACGTTGCCATACTCCACACATGCTCACGCGCACATGCGCACATGTATCTCACTCTCCTGAAGGAAATGGGAGAACCATGTAGGGTTAAATGCAAAATAGGGGGAGGCTTTAAAAAAAAAAAAATTCTCAGGAAGAATGATTCATCGGTCTGGAAACTGTGACAGCCAGCTGGACAGACCCAGACAGACATGGAGGATACCCGCCAGTGAGAAATAGGGCAGGAGGCAGGCACAAAGAAGGGAGCAGCTAGGAGCCTTTGCTCTTTCTCTCCTTCTTTTGATCTTTATCTTCTCGCAGAGCATGGTTGGAAGCTTCACTCCCATTTCACAGAAGGAATGAGAATTGGGTGGGAGAGGAAGAGGCTCAGTGTCCTGGATCCCAGAGAGAGCTGGCTGGATTACCCAGAAAGCCCAGCTCCCCGGCCACATTCCAGGGGGCTTCCCCCCCCACACACACACTTCTGGCCTTCACACAAGCCCCTACCCACCAATGAAGGGCTTAGGGAGTGAAGGAGACATGGAGACTAGGCTGGCAGTGAATGCTGGGAGTGGACAGGGACCTACTGTCTAGACAGCCTGGGCCCCAAGCCGTGTGGCTTTCTGGGTCCTCCCCTGATCCGTCCCCTCCCAGAGCTTTCATGTGGTCTGGCGCTATGGTCCCAGGGTGGGGCAACCTCAGCCCGGTTGAGATTCCTTCTTATTTTCTCGCTCACATTCCCATCTCCAGCTCTTGCTCCGTAAAGAAGAGGGCAGCACGAGGTGTGCCAGAAAACCGGGGTACGGAGGTGGAATCGGGCTTGTCCTCGCTTCCCTCCTGTCATGCTGCAGTGTCCATGGCTTTAGTGAGAGCCAAAGGCCAGCTTCTGCTTTCTGCCTGCCCCCCCCCACCCCCGGGCCCAGGCAAGGTCCTGCTGGAAGAGCCTGTCACCGCCATCTCTACTCCTCCTGACATGTGCCTGTCCAAGTTGCCTCTGGCTGGCACAATGCCCAGAATGATGCACCTATGGACGGCCTGGCCCAGCTAGAATGAGCTCCTTGTTCTTTGTAGGGTAGCCCTCTGTTTTCAAAGAGGAGGGTCCTCCTATGCGCCTGGGTTGGGGAACGAGACAGGGAACCCGATCCTCTTGTACATATGCCCATGGACAGGCACGGGGCCAGCGAGTTCTCAGATCCACCTGGAACTACGTACATGGATACTCTGGTACCCTCAGTCCCGAGTTCACCCCCGTCCCCCACGTGAACACGCTGATCCATAAACACAAGGAAAGGCACAAACAGTGATACACAAGCCCCAAATCACAAACACATCCGGAGATATATAAACACACTCCAGTTACACAGACACACAGAGATAGCACACGCACACAGCCCCCACCACCCAGTTTCCAGGGAAACGCACTCCCAAGAATGTCCGGAGTGGGGCCAGGCAGGGCTGGGCTTGGTGCCTTGCTCCAGAGATGAGACAAGGAAAGCCTCAGCTCCCGGGAGTCCAGGGGAGGGGGAGTGCTAGGGAGAAGAACACCCGTTCCTTTGTGCCTCTGCCTACCCCTCCCGGGGCTGCCAAGCTCCTGAGACAGGCAAGCCCAGACAAGGAGGCTGTGGGAGTGGGAGGGAGCAAAAGGGAAGGGGGTTTAGGGTCAGAAGAGAGTGGGAGGGTACATACTTGGCAGGGTGGAACCTTGGCTGGGGAAGAGTTAGGGGTCACCGGGGCCACAGGAAATGCCTAAGAATTCCATCTTGACCCAGGCGCTCCCTCTTCTCAGGGAGCTAGAGGATGCTCTGGGCAGACTGCCCAAGAGGGCCCTTCAGAGCATCCGTTCCTGCACCCTGCTCACAACACACATGTGCATGCCCATGAATGCGAGGGATCTGGGGCTGGGGGAGTGAGGTCCGGGCTCTCTCTCCAGCCTCCTTGAACTCTGCCCCTCCCTCTCCCTGCTGCCAGACCAGCTCACTTCCACACACCCAATCTTGGGGGAAGATGTTCTCTGGGAGGTTGAAAGGGACTGTCAGGAACCAGACGGCATCACAGCCAAAGCCCCAATTTGTGGGGGTCCCCCCCCTCAGCTGGAGGTGGAGAACTTGAGGCCCTAGAAGAGGCAAGGGCCTGCCACTGCTGCTGGTGGACCTGGGTCCCTGAAGTCACGTGGCCCCCTCACACTCCCAAGGGCAGGAAGAAAGGAGTAGGGCAAGGTTGGGTCTCCTGGGTGAGCTGTGAAGGGAGCAGCATCTAAAGAGAGCTTAAGGGCTATGAACAGAAGGACAGAGGGAAACAAAGGAATGAGGGGGATTTCTACTGCCAAAGAGCTTTCAGCTAGTAAGACAATGGCGGACATTAGTCCTCCCGCTCAGAGTCAGGCTTGGCCCACAGCTCCCATCCTCACGTCAACCCCACCTCTGCCCCCCACCCCAGGCCTGCTCTCTCACTCCCCTAATGTGACAATTTGTTGTATAAATGGATGCCCAGGGCAGACACACCCGGTCTGTCAAAGCACCACCTGCGCCGACCCCTGAACTGCCCAGTCACAAGAACAAGGGGCCCGGTTTTCAGAGCCACCTGACACAACAGAGTGGCCTGTGGCTTTGGGGGACAGGGTGCTAACCATATTCATGACCCCAGAGCTACTGTGGACGCTGTTTTAACGGAGTGGCCATGTCCTCGGATCTCACCTTTGCTCCATCCCCATCCGGTGGGAGCGGCCTCCTTCCCCACCTCCCCACCTCTTTTCAGAGTGACCCCCTCTTGGCATCATGAAACAACCCCATGGTTGTCCTGTCGTTCCAACTGCCCTCCCTTAACCATCTCACTAATGACCTGACCGCTGCACCACTCCATCTGCCCTTTGAATGAGGTCACCAGGACGTCTCCCCTCCCCGCCAAGAAGTGACCAGAGAAGAAAAGCAGGCTGAAGACAAATCGGGATCCTAGAGGAGTTGGGGGGTGTTCTTGAGGCACATGGAGAGGCCCCTGAGCCTCCCACTAGCTCTGTGTTACCATGGCAACCGCCACAGCAGGCTCCCCCTCCACCAACGCCCCTAGCCCAGGCTTTTCAACAGAGACTGTCGCCTCCGCCTCCCGCTGGGGGCAGCACACCTTACCCTGAGTGAGCCGGGTGGGCTGCCGGACAGGGAGCCCATCGATACTGCAGATGTTGCCACAAGGGTGGAGGGTGAGGGTGCCCCGCACATTCTCGATGTAGCAGTGCTCTGGGGCCAGCCCGGGACCCTGCAGGGAGATGTCCCTGGCCGCGGAGCCAATCACCGTCTTCCCTGAAGACAGAGGGCAAACTGAGTCCCAGGCTGGGCCAGGAGGGAGGCCAAGGAGACAGAAGCCCACCTCCTCCTGCACAAAGGATTGCTGCCTACCACCGGCCACCCTTTTTGGGCCCCTTTGGTGTCCCCCTTTGGTGGAGAAGGTCAGGGGGAGAAGCTCTGGGCAGGCAAAGAAAACTGGCTCACAGATTGGGGGGACCCAGAGGACACAGAGCAGCCAGGCTCTACCGACAGAGAAGGGGAACTTCTTTCCTGCAGACCTTCCTTTAGTCCCTCCACCTCCTCATCCCCAAGTCCTCTTCCTCCTTCATCCTGCTCTCCTGCTCCCCATCTCTCCCCCTCCAACTTCTGCATCTGCACCCCTTGCTCTCCCTGGCTCCCCTCCGTGCTAAGGCTTACACAGCTCTCCCCCTGGCAGAGCCCCTGGGACTGGTATTTGGAGAATGTGGGGAATGTAGAATCACCCAGGCAACAAGTGCAGCCAGGGGAGAAGTGAGGAGGCCAAGGAGGCCAGGCAGAAGCCAGCGGGGAAGGGGGCCATGCCAGGGCCTTATCTCAGGAGGTCGTTCCCCCACTTCCCAGCCCTCCATGCTCCACAGGTAGCTGCTCCCACACCAGGCATAGGCCTGGAATGGGGCCCCTTCCTTCTTGGCCACACTGGTTGCTAAGAGCAATGGGCTCTCCTGTTTCAGTGCTCTCCTCCTTGTTTCTAAACTAATCTTTAATCCCAGTCATGGAGCCAGATGATCTACCAAAGGGGGCCAGTCAGTCCAGGGAGGCCAGGACAAGGGGGGCGAGCTGGTGGCGCAGCCTCACATCTGGGGGAGGCGAACATGGCTGACAAAGGGCAGAAGGGCCCCCACGCGTGCCTGGGATCCAGGGCAGGAATGTCTTTAAGGACCAAGGGGTGGTGGGGTGGAGGGGCCGTCCCCCCAGACTTACCTTCCTCCAGAGGCAGAAGGGTGATGGCCGTGCTGAGCCGCCCACTGCCCAGGCTCACCAGATGTGGTTTGTCCGTCTGCACTTTCAGCCCCTTGCCTGTCTCAATCAAGTCCAAGGGCCCCTTCTGCAGGTGGTGGGGGTGAGGGATGAGCATCATGAGACCCTTCAGGCCGGAACCTGAGCACCCGAGCCCCCGTCACACCGGCACTCCCTCCGGCACCCGCCCTCTCCAAAGGGCTCTGAGGGTGTCGAAAATTGAAATGAGATCTGAATCTAGGCCACTAACTCGTCCCACTGGATTTCTCAAGCCTTGGCTTAACTGCCCCCTTTGTCTATTAAGACACAAAAAAGGAGAAAGTGAGAGGAGCAGGTGGGTGCTGGAGAGGAGAAGGGGCTGCTGCGGAGGAGGGCCAATGCAGACTTGTCCGTGGCCATCCCCTTGGCCACTGCTTGCCTCCGTGAAACTGAATCACAGTGGAGGACAGAGCCTGGGATCCAGGAGAGAGACACAGCCCGGGGTCGGTCTGTAAACCGGCTCCTGACTTCCAAAGGGTATATTCTGGGTGAACCAATTAACCTGATTCAGATAACGCCTCAGCTGTTAATAGGCTTGGGACCTGGGGAAGGGTGGAGAGGAGCTGCTGCTCTCATCCCTGGGCTGGGGCCACGACTGGGGCCACGGGTGGGGAGAGGAGCCAAACCCACCCTCTCCAACAGCCTTCTTGCCCCTTGGCCTTGACCTGCTCACCTTTATCATTGCTTGGGTCTTGCATCCGGAGACTCCCTGGTTCCTGTTAAGAGCGTCCATGGTCCTGGGGCTCCACGGCTCCTGGGGACACAGCAGAAGGCAGGTGTTGGCGGGGAGGCGGGGGTGGGGGTGGGGGAGAGAAAGGAATAGGGTCCCAGGGGTGGGGGCGGTACCAGTCACCCTCATTCCCAGCAGGCTCATGCAGAAGAAAAAGTGGAGGCAGCTCAGAGGCAGATACCCAGCACACTGTCCTCACCCTTGCCACCATAAGCCAAAGACCCCTAGAGGCCCCGCCTGTATGTCTATGCTTCCTTGCCTCAGAAATCCAGGAGCTAGTCTTCTGCGGCAGAGGACGCTCAGACATCTGGAGCCAGAGGTAAGGTGGGGAAAATCTACCTCAGTAAGGGAAGCTGGGGTCCAAGAACTCCCCAGGGGACACTGGTAGCCAGAGACACCCCCCCTGGTGGGTGATAGAGCTGAGGCACTCCCTCCCCCGTACCCTCTCTTGCCTTTCCCTTTGTCTCTTTTCCCCAGGGGTCTCCACAGGGTGTCTGCTTAAAGGAGACACCACAGGAAGAACTCAGCCATTCCTGCCTTCTGTATGTCTCAACTCCTACACCTTCTCTTCCCCAGAAAGCAGTCTCACCCCCAGACAATCAGTGAAAAACCCCTCAGTGGTGACTAATAACAGGAGTACAGTTTTCTAGGTTCTTCATCTGATCTGGTGTGGTAGGAAGCTTAGGTCTTTAGAACCAAGGGTAAAATAGATTCAAGAGCCAGAACTGTTTAAGCTCTTTCCACGGATCCCTTTCTCCCTCCCTCACGGTTTTGGTACCTTTGGGTACAAATGTGGGCCTGTGTGCCCGTCCCTTGATCATCTTGTTAAGGTGACAAGCTTCCCATTCGCTGCGGACATGGGGCTGGGGAAAACTGAGTGGCTCCAGGTGGGAGGGAGACCCAGGAAGGCAGGGTTTCCCTCCACTTTCTCTTCCAACCCTCGACCATGGCCTAGTGACCTAGGAAGTAGGGGCAGGAGCCAGCATTCCAAGGAGAGCCTAAGCCCAGCTGTGGGGCCCAAGGGCCTCAGCCTTAGAGAGTTACTAATTTTACCCTCCCAGCTTCCACCCTTCCGGACCTAGACGACATCATGTCCGTCACTGTGTCCACCCAAGCTGGCGGAAGAAAAACCGGAATTCGGCCTGGGGCCCACCCCAGCTCCGCCTGGGAAGAGGGAAGGCAAAGGCAGTTAACCTACACCAAGTTCCAAGCTGGCCTGGCACCTCCCCAGGAGATCTGGCTGTGGGGAAGAATTTCCAGGGTTAGAGCCTGCCTGCTGTCCTGTTTCCTTACACTGGGGGAAAGCCCTCAGCATTCTCCGAGGAAAGGGAGGTGAGAGAGTGGGTTGGGAATGGGGAGTTTACATAAAAGAGGGAGTAAGAAAAGAAAACAAAAAAATAATGGGGAAAGAAACAGCATCACCATTTAGTGGAAAGAGATTTAGGCTGGAATGCAATAGCCTTAAATTCTCACCTTGACTTTATTATTTATTAGCTGCGAGATCTTGGACAAGTTACTTAAATTCTCTGAGTATCAAGTCATTCTTTATAAAAGTGGAATAGTGACTTTTTCACAAAAGATTGTCTGGATTAGTGCTTGCCTGTGGCTAAGGGTAGGATGGAGAGTGACTATAAATGGGCACAAGATTTCTTTTTGGGGTGAGGGAATTGTTCTCAAACAAAACTGTAAATATACTCTAAAAAAATCACTGAATGCGCACTTTAATTAAGTGAATTTTATGATATATATGTTATACCTCAATAAAACTGTTTTTTTTATTTTTTTTAAAGATTTTATTTGTTTATTTGACAGACAGAGATTACAAGTAGGCAGAGAAGTAGGCAGAGAGAGAGGGAAACCAGCTCCCCGCTGAGCAGAGACCCCCATGCGGGACTCAATCCCAGGACCCTGAGATCATGACCTGAGCCAAAGGCAGAGGCTTAACCCACAGAGCCACCCAGGCGCCCTATTTTTTTTTAAAGATTTTATTTACTTGAGAGAGAGAGCGCAAGTGAAAGCATAAGTGGGGTGTGGGGGAGGGGAAGGGAGAAGCAGACTCCCCACCAAGCTGGGAGCCCAAGGCAGGGCTTGATCCCGGAAGGGGAGGATCACAACCCAAGCAGAAGGCAGACACCTAACCAACCGAGCCACCCAGGTGCCCCAATAAAACTGTGCCTTTTCTTTTCTTTAAGATTGGAGAGTCAGCTCTTATATTAAATGACACTGTGTGAAGCACAAAGAAAGCACCGTAAACATGCCAGTTATGAGTATGGGTTTCAAGATCTAGAACAAGTCCCTTCACCCTTTTCTATCAAATTCGTCACCATTACCCTGTTCATGTATTTACACCAAAGAATTTCAAGCGGAGATAAAGATCGTAACGGAACAAGGTTGATGGGGCACAAGCCTGATGCGAGGAGAGGAGGAAATAATATGTGAAGGAGAGGGGGAGACCAGGAGGGGCGTGTGGGGAGAGACGGAGAAGATCGGGAAAGACGGAGAAATCAGCATGTTCGAGGCCGTGGCCCCAGCTCAGAAACCTAACCCAGGTGAAGCGGAAAGCTACACCAGACCGACGCGTCCCAGTCGCACCCGGGCGGCGCTTTGACAAAGGGGCTGTCCCGCGGCCACCTGGGGGCGCGCTCTCCTCGGACCCCACCCGGGGCAGGGATAGCGAAGCGGCGCTGAGCCCGGGCGCCCTCAGCGGCCAACCCGCTTCTGTGGACAGGGCTACCCAGCACCTCCGGCAGTAATTACCCACTCGGAGCGCCCCGCCCGGCCCCGCTGCCAAAAAAAGGCCCCTGCGGCGCAAGGCCGGCTCCCGGGAAGGAGGGACGCGAGGGAGGCGCCGCGGTCAGCCCCGGCTCTCCGGAGCCCTCCCGCACCTCCCGGGGACAGGGCGGCGGAGGCCTGGGAGCTGGGAGCCGCCGTGCAACAGGCGGGGACCCGGTGGCGGGCGAGGCCGGGGCTCCCGCGGGTGACCCCGCTAAGGCCCGGGCCCTCCGTCCTCCTTGCCCGGCGGGGACGCGTGGGCACCGAGGCCACGCGGGATCAGCCTGTCCCCAGACCTCTCCGCCTAATAGGTGTCCAGAGTCACCGCTTGGGGTCTTGGAACCCGAACTAGGGTGAAGGTAGGCCCGAGGAAGGGCCGAAAAGGTCTGTAACCAACAGGCGGGGGAGGAAGTCCAGGCTCCAAATCGGGGCCCTGGCCAGAGGTCCCAGGCGAGTCCCCGAGCGGTGCCCTGCTCCTGCGCTTCCCGGAATCCCGCGGGGCCGCTCCAGCCCTCACCTGTGGCCGGTGGGGCCAGCCGGACCCTCGCCCCAGGCGTCGCATAGCCGTGGCCGGAGGCCTGCGTGGCCGAGCTGGGACCCTCTCCGCCCGCCGCCGCCTTCGCTTTCCCGACGCACATCCGCCCTCAAGGAAGGGCGGCCGGCAGGGGAAGGAGTCGGGACGGGAAGGAAACTGAGGCTGGGAGCCCCGAGGGCGGGGGCCGGGGAAGGGCGTGGAAAGGCCGGGTGGAGAGAAGTGGAGAAGGGGGGATAGGAGGGCTCAGCGGCGGGACCAGGTGGGTAAGGGGAGACGCAGGGATGGAGGGGCGGGATGGAAGACGGAGACTGAGGGATAGAGAGAAAATGAGAGCTGGGGAGATTGTCAGGAGGGGAAGAAGGTGTGGAAACTCTCCGCGGGACTCAGAGCTGGGTGGAGACGGAGGGACAGAGAGGTGGAGGGCCTGGGGGACAAAGAAGGGGATGGCGAGACTGAGAACACGGAGGTCTTCGAGTAAAGGGGACGACGGCCAGGGGCAGCCCTAGAAGGTACAGAGGGCAGTGGAGGGGGAAACGGAGGGACGGGGAGCCAGGGGAAGGGAGGAGCAGGGGGGCTGAGGGCAGCCGCGGCCCTGAAGTTGGGGCGGGACCGCAGGTGGGCGGCAGAGGCTCCAGAGGGCAGAGCCAGGGAGAGGCGGGAGTGTAGAGTGGGGCTCCGGTTCTCCAGGGGAAGAGAAGGGGGTGCTGGCGAGCGCCCCACTCCGAGGTTGCGGGCGGGGTGGGACTGCCGCCGGGGCGCGGCTCCTCGCTGGCCCGGAGCCTGTGCTGCCTAGGGCCGCCAGGTGGGACAAGGCCGCAGTGTTGGGTCGCCCCGCCCGCCGCGCACGCGGGACAAGCGGCCTTTCTTTGGCCGGGCGGGGAGAAGGAGCCGCTTGTTTACGCGGCCGGGGAAAGGGGCGGCCGCTCCCACACCGCCCGCTCCCCGCGGGGCAGCTGCGGGAAGGGGGCCCCGAGGGTGCACGGGAGGTGCGAGTGTGAGCGGCAGGGTGTGCGGACGGGAACTGCGTGAGCGCGGCGGGCCCCGCGTGCGAGCGCCGGCTTCGGGGTGCCGGGAGCGCAGCGCGTGCGGACTGCGGGCGGAGGTCCCGGCGTGCTGGAGGCTGCCCCACGCGCGACGGCCGCCGAGACCCGGGCTGCGCGCGCGGCCGGAGGGCGCGCGCGTGGGTGACACGGGGTGGGGCGCGGTGCGTGTCCGCTGCGTGGGATGCCTGACGTGATGGGGAGCTTCTATTTGTGTGCGAGCGGTCGGATGAGTCAGCCCGGGAGCCTCCGGGACGGTTGAGCTAACGGGACCAGAATGCAGCCCCGCCCCGGCTCCCTGGGTCCCCCGCCGGGCCGCGCGGTCACCCGCCAGTCCAGGCCCCCGCTCATCCCAGCCCCGGCGGAAGCGTCGGCGGGCGCCTCGGCAACCCCGCGCGGGGCGGCCCCTCCCTGGCCCCGCCACCCCCGGCCCCCAGTCCCCGGCCGCCGGCCCGCCCGCACTTCCCCATCCCGGAGGAACCCGAATGGTTGGCTCAGCCCCAGCCTCGGGGAACTCCGCTAGGGATAAGAATCCGGACCCTACGGGCGTGGCCAGAGCCTGAGGCTCCCTCTCCTAAGCGTGCCCCGTCCGTCCTCCCGGACCCCTAAAGATGCGGGGCCTCGGAGGAGAGCTGGGGAGACCCGGGACGTGCCTCCCGTCACCTAAACACACCCAGGGGTGTCTCCCGGATTCCCACCGCCTCCGGGCTGGACTCCACACACATTCCTCGTCCATAGAGGCGGCCTGGCCGGGGCAGGAGCGGAGTTGGCCCAGGAGGGCCCCCTCGCCCGGTGCAGGGCTCTCTGCCTGCAGTCGGCCAGAGAGTGGGAGGAGTGCGGCGCGGGCGGACGAGACTCCGCGAGTATCCCGCCCGGCCCGCCATCTGGGTGCCTGCAGGAGAGTCTGGATGGGGCAAGGACCAGCGTCCCTCCCGGGGAGGAGCGCGAGGGCCCCCTCTGGCGGCTGCGCGGACGGAGGCTCCGGAGGGCAAAAGCAAGCAGCTGGCAAAAAAGCCGCGGAGCCGGCTCCCCACAAAGCCCCTTTCTATCGCCCCCCACCCCACTGCACACACCTGGGGCGCCCCCTCCTCCCACACGGTTTCTTCTGGGCCCTCCAGCCCTGAGCTGATCTGAGGGCTCTCGCCCAGGCCCTGGGACTTCCCCTTATCCAGTCCCAGCAGCGCAGCCAGCGAGACCCACGGGCCTAGTGGGAGAGAGCGTCCTTACCTCGCGCGGGGAGAGGGGGACACCGGTTCCCTCGCCTTGCTCGGCCGCCGCGGCCTGGGGCTCTGGAGGACACTGTTGCTTTTCCCTGGGAGCCCGCTGAGTGGGAGGAGAGCGAGAAGGTCCCGCCCCCAGTCCCCGCCCCCGTCCCCCGTCCCGTCCTGCCAGGCTAGCCAAAGACGCCCTTGTGGAACTGGAGCCCAAGGTCCCCCCACCCCCCCTTTCCCATCGCAGCCCCCCCCCCCAAGGCCCCCCCCACCCCCCGCCTGCACAGCGCCCGCTTTGTTCCTCTCTGCAGCTGGGCTCTCCACTACCATCAACACACGCACACCCCTCCTCCCTCCTGCCCTCCCCTTCCGACTCCCCTAGACCACCCTCCACCCCTAGGCCTTAAGGCTCTTCTGAAAGGGTGTTTTTGACAATTTCTCACTCTCTCCCCCTGCACGCCCCCTTTTTTAAAACCTTAGGTGCCTGAGTCCTCCGTAGCTCCCAGGAAACCTCATGGTCATAGAGCCCTCCAACATGGTCTCAGTATCTCCAGAAAATACCTGCTGAAGGTACCCAGGTACACCGTCTGGTGCTCACCTCCAAGCCCTGCCATGAAGAGCTGTAAATGGGGTTGATAACCCTCCACATCCGGCTTCACAGACTTTTCTGAGAGGTGGAAGACATGTTAAAGTGCCATGGAAAGTGTAAAGCACAGAAACCTGAACTGAATCAGCATCTTGCCCCCATCCATGTAGGTCCATCTTACTACCACCTGCTGACTTACAACTGGGGCGAGGCAAGCTATAGGCAGACAACTGGGCACACCATCCTAGAGCAATTTGGGTCTCTGTAGGAGTAAGGGGTTAATATGGAAGAAAAGGAGGGACTCAGGGCACCTGGGTGGCTCAGTCATTAATTGTCTGCCTTTGGCTCAGGTCATGATCTCAGGGTCCTGGGATGGGGAAGCCTGCTTCTCCCTCTCCCACTCCCCCTGCTTGTGTTCCCTCTCTTGCTGTGTCTCTGTCAAATAAATAAATAAAATCTTTAAAAATAAAGAAAGAGAGAGAGAGAAAGAAAGAAAAAGAAAGAAAGGGAGAGAGGAGGAGGGACTAAAAACCTAAGAGGAGTCTAGAAACTGAGCCTGGTTGAGGTCATTCCTCATCTCAACCCCCACCCCGAAATCCAGCTCGGACAGTGGATCCTCACCTTGCAAAGCCAGCTCTTGCCCCAGGAGACTGACTGGGGAGACCCTAGGGAGCTGACCTCAGCTAGGCTAGACCTCTTCAACCTGCCCTCAAGGGAAGCCCGAGACTCCTCCTCGCTGAATGAGGGAGGAGACTTCTAGCTGGGGCAGAGAGCAGAAAATAATTTGCCCTCTTTGGGATGAACATATCTAGTTCTGACTCAGTGGCTTCAGTTTGTGCCCTCTTTCCCTAACCCTGGAACAGCAGGAGGCTGAACTGCATGGTCTTTGGTCACTCATTGACAGGGCCAGCATTAGCAGGGGGGCCCCCCACTGCTGGAGGCTGGGACTGACTGGAGCCAGGCAGTGGACAGGAGGGGGGAGGGGAAAGGCACTTTGCACTTACCAGCTGTGGCTAACAGAGGTCAAACAAGCAAGGTTCCAGCAGGCATCGTGGGTACCAGGAAGTCTCAGAATTTGGGGGATGGGGAGGAAACCTCTTATTCTTCCTCTCTTCATACTGTTTGAAGCTCATGAAAGTGTTTTGACTCTGGCCACCTTTCATGAGGCAGATAACAACAGTAAGTTTCAGACTATTCTGGTAAAAGAAAAAGAAACAAAACCCAAACTATTGTATCCTAGATGCCAAGACCCGGCATCTGAGGGAAGGGGCTCTGACTGGGGTATCTCAGTCTTCTCACGTAACTGTTTCACAACTCCCCGATCTTTACCATTTCGGTCGGGAGGAATTTCAGGGAAGGATGGAGCCTGCCACAAGGCAGCTGATGCTGAGGAAGGGGGTGAAACAGCACCCACCTTCTCTGTCCTCCCACTCAGGGACCAGCTAACCCCAACGCTCTGTGCAATGTGTCCTCCTGCTGGGTTGAGGCCCTATGTTCCCACAGTTAGAGCACTCAGGGGACCGGGGACCTACCGCCCCACCCTCCACCCCCACCCGCTGCACATCTGGAGCCCATCAAAAAACTCAGTGCTCTCTCACAATTACGCAAGAGGTCGAGCAGCTGGGAGCTCAGGAAAGGGGGAGGAAGAGAGAAGAAAGCAGAAAACAGCTTTCCAAGCATGCTTCAGACTTTCCGAAGTGGAAGCAGCGGGGAGAGGGCAAAGGCTGGGTGTGGAAGGAAGAGTGGGTTTGCAAAGGCTCTGCACTCGGCTATGAATGTCAGGAGTCTTATTTCCACATCCCTCCTGCCTTCGCCTAGGCCCTCTTCCCACCTCTGTCCCTCCTCTCGGACCACGCTCCCTCCAGCCCCAGGAGGAGGCAGCTGTTGCTGATTCCAGCAGGCCAACCCTGTAGAGTCACATCTTCTCAAGTTCTCCTTTCTGGCATCTCTGGGTCCTGAAGTCAGGGAGCATTGGTGTTGATGCGGTGACAGCAATGACGCCAAGTGACTCCTCCCTGCATCAGACTTGGGGAAAAGTTCAAACCTTTCTTCAGCAGGAGGTCTCTCCTAAAAATTGCACAATCCATACTTAGACCCAAAGCTGAGAGACACGGGAGCTGAGTGGGCAGTTTGGGTCATGGGGGAAGACTGTCTCATCTACATCCGTGTAGGCTCAGGACCTTCCTATGAGCTAAATAGAACAAGCACTGATTTGGGCAAAAGAATGGGAAACAAGACCCATTTCCACTTCCCTCATTGCCTTGACATTGTAATGCCTCTTTTTCAACTAGCCCGTTTGGTTAGCAACCTGATCACACCAAGTTCGATTACGGGAGCTTTTGAGAATTGGACTAAGCCCTAAATAACCATTTAGCCCCTGCCCTATGAGCAGCAAGGCAAAAAAATGTGTCTGTGGGGGGCGGCGGGGGTGAGAAGTGACCCGAGCTCCTGAAAACTTGGATTGCCTGACCTCGTGTCTGAGTGGGCAGAAGCTTAGTTTGGAAGGGTACAGTCTTCCTAAGGTCTAGCGCCACGTAAACCCCTAATTCCCGAGGGTAATACGGGAGACCGACACTTGGGGGGAGGCTTTCTAACCTTGGGTAAGAGCAACGTACAGCACGCAACTGCTGTGGAGCTTCTAGAACTTTCAAAGCTCTGTAGCCGCGAACAGATTTACCAAAGGGGGCGTGGGGGGAGGGAATGGAGGGAGAGGATGGTTGCAATGAGATGTGCATAGTAAAGGGGAGTTAATTCGGAGTTTTTACTTTCTTTTGAGAGATTCCTCTGAAGCCTACCAGGCAGACCCCTCCCTATTCCTCACCCTCACTGAGGCCAGCTGTGGTCGGATTCAGCCATTGCTTCCAGTTAGACTTTCATCTTCTTGAGGATAGGAGCTTTTTCTATTTTTCTGTCTTCCTCCAATGAGCCTGACCAGATGTGAACATTTTAAAGAAGCTACTCTGTATCAACCCTAGAAATCTCTCAGGCACTACTCAGTGTGAA